CTCGGGACCACTCTTTCCATGGTCACGATTACAGACGGCCTGAATTATAGACTCGAACTGTCCTGCTACCATTGGATAAAAACTATGAAACAACTCAAGGAACTCAATACCCATCGCAAAAACTTACTCATGAACGGAAAAACAGTTGACTTTTCTCTAGGCAAAAGTAAACTGCAACGCGTGGTGTCCAAATACACAGGTATCCCAGGTGAACTGTCGTGTTACACCTTTCAGCCACGAGCATGGTGCATACACTGTACTGGTAACCATATGATTTCGAGTGTATGAATTTTTTAATAAAATTTTTCAAAGACTACAAATTGCACTCGTTGGCTTTAAAACTTGGTTTTATGCGCCTTTGATTAGATATTTCAAATTGCTTTCGAAATCGTATGGTTACCAGCAAAAATCTGGCTTCTGATGAGGAATCACGTTTTGAATTTTTTGTTAGATATAATTACACCTTCGTTTTCTTTCTCACCCGAGGAGCGTCGGCTCTAATATCTCTCACAAAATAAATAAACGAATTGATGATTAAATAAATTGATAAGTGAGAAGAAGCAGAAATGGTAAAAGAAGGATACACGAATAAAATTATAAATCAATCAATAAATAAATAAATTTATTTGCAAGAAATAATGAAAGAAAAATAAACTTAAGTTTAAATTTAATTTTCACAACTACATGTACCGACCTGTACCAGATTGCATTCGAAAATAAAGACAAATTTTAAAAGATAATTCCTAGAAAAAGATAAAGATATAACTGTTTTTGATTAGTCAGTTCACAAATTCCACAAGTTTTCTGAATTATGTAGACACTTCATTCCCAGGTGAAGATATCTATGGACAAGAACGGACACGATTCTTTTGCTATGGAGGGTCATGAAAGAGACTTGGCTCTCGCCATGAGAATGAGGCTCGCGACTGTCTTGTGATTCTTCACTTCGTTATCATAGCAACAAAGACCCACATTGATGGTTGGTTTGCTCGGTTGCTCCCATTAGACTTACTTCGCTGCTGTTCTTCGTTAGTTAACGATGGCTTCAGGAACAAATAACCTTCCAGAGAAACAGAAGGTAGGAAAGTCAGATTCTATAGTTAAAAAATATATATATATTAATGCTTCTTTTTTGCGTATCACTAGGCCCTTTTGATTTTAGATGTTTCGTGAAGGAAGATGAGCTTCTCTAAAGTTCATCTACTTGGTACATGTAAATAGTTTGTATTCACTTAGATTTTGAACCATCATCGAAGAATGATAGAATCCCAGTTCTAAGACGAAATTCAACAGGAATTATGTACAATATTCTTAAAGTAAAGCCATCAGTAACCTTTTTATCGGTGCAAGCTTAACGTTCCCGAACGCGGTGCGTCGTATTGATTTTTGACGCAGAATATTTTACACTCATCTGTACTACTGGAGCCAAATACAATTATGAAATTACACTTAGTGATATTATTAAGTTGCTTTTTCAGTTAAATTTTTGAGAAATGCTAAGGATTTCAGTGTATGTAGAAAGTTGTCCGCATATATGTATGTTTATTGTTGATGCACGGTGGGTTCACACTACAGTATTGAAAGTGATATTTAAAGCTGGCAGTCTATACCAACCAGAGACTTGGTATGGATCCAATACTTGCGAAGTGATAGTCCAAGAACCTTGACAGACATATGCATGGTGCATGATCTGCTTTTCTGAATTTTTTTATTGACTTGATTCTTGTTGCCATGCAGTAATAAGACCTAAAATAAAAGCTGTATAGTATGTAGAATCCTGCTTGAACCTGGTTAAGTCGAACCCTCGGCTTACTTAGGCAAGATCCGATTTTCAAAGGATTTGTCCCCTTTTTTTCCAGTCATTTACTGTCAGCCAACTCAAATTCCTGGTAAACTCAAACTAATTTTGCTTTCCCTTGGCTCAAATTTACCGTGGTAACTTGAACTAAGTAAAAAGGTTGTTTAATAAATGTCAAAGTGTCAATACATAGCTGATTGACACATCCCAATCTTTAAACACAGTTATCAAAACCTACTACATCTGGCTTAACTTCCCACCCTTAACATCCCTATTAAAGGAAAACACTCGGAACAAACTAATTGTATGAAAATGACTGTTGATTGTGCAAGTATGGTAAAAATATGATTCCCTTGTCATTATTAACAGGATACCATTGTTCTAGTGATTCAAGTCAGGGGGGTGCTACTGTAGTTTTAAGTAAACCAGGTTAAGCAGTCCTTTTGGGTGTTCAGAGTCAGTCTCTTTCAGTGTTCACACCTACTCTGAATACTCAAAAAGACTCTATTCCAGTGAAACTGTTCATTTTATCATGTGCATTCTTTTGTTTTACTCCATCTCATTTTATTTAAATTTAGCTTCACACTTCCTTCTTTTATATAACATCACTGAACTTGTAATAATTTTACATTTGATGATGGTGACATGTAGTCACCAAAACGTCTTAATCTCACTACTTTTTACTATAAAATGTTAAGCAAATACTGCCACAGAAATTTACCTTACAAATCTTTAAACCGTAAATTACTCCAGTTTACATCTTTTTTGGCTCTGCTTTTCTAGCACGCTAGCTTTGCTTGACAGGAAAATAAACCTTAGTGTTCTACTTTAAAAGTTATCAAGTTTTCTCTTTAGGAAAGTTCTCCTGAAACTCTAAATTACTTTGTGTTATGGCATTAATTTCTCTAGATGGTAGACAGTTACTCTCTAGAGAAATTATCATTATTTTGCCCTATAATCAACAACTTGCCTTTGCTTTGTTTCGTTTTTCACAATAGATTAAAGTTATCATGAAAACTTTCATTTATTTCAGGATGCCACAGAAAGTAACCCAGTTCCAGGAGGGACAGCATATGACTTTGAGCAGACCAAACCAGGAAAAGGTGCCATTACTTCTGACTATTACCGCACTTTCAACATTCCTGAGCGGTTTAATAATCCGGGTATGTTTTATTGTGTCTTCCAGATCTAATTAATAACCCAGGCAACCCTGTTTTCTCCTGTCCTACTGAAGTTCAGTTAATTAACCTAACAACAAAAGAGATTCAGGAAGGAGGTGGGTGTCATACTATTTGTGAAATACTGAACGTCTTGAACCATTCAGTATTTTGTGTGCATTTTGTTTGGTCAAATGCTTTTCCTAGTTTAGTAGAAGTCACAACACTCTTTCAAAATTTTTTTCACGAGAGTTCTGCAAAAAGAGGTCTTCAACTAATATTGGGCACTGCCTCACTTAAAAGCTCAATGATTAAAATAGTTGTCAAATCATTATATGCAGTATATGAAGGGATTTCAGGGAGTGCTGTGCCTAATATGACATTCTTGCAGAGTATTTAACAAAAGTGTTTTCTCTAGATTGGTTTGATGGTTACAAAACAAAGAAGCAACACCCGATGTATATGACAAGTGGGATGGAGTATGGGTGAGTAATTTTTACATGTGTAGTTATTTGTGAGTAGTTCCAAATAAAAGTGTAAAAATGATTCATCATTGGGGCTGTCTTTCTTAGAAAAGGCCAAAGTTGTTGATTTTACAGCCTATTTATCAGCAAAAACCTAAGAAATTAAGGAAGCTTATAGGCATAACTAAGCTTTTGTTCTGCTCATTTATCCTCTCGCTTTGCCACTTTCTTGTTGCCATTGCAGTCATGGTTTGCTAAAGGTCTGTTTTAAACTTCTACTAACCTACTAAAATTTTTTCAATTTCCTCGTAGGAGTCATCGTCCAACAGTTCATACCATGCCTACAAGTTTTCATGCAAAGAGCCAAAAGTTCTCAGAACACTTGGGAACATGTGGAATGTACAGAGATCAATCTCTGAATACCTCTATGGATAAAAGCATTGTTTGAAACTGTATTGTATGCTTTTTTCCAGGCAAAAATGCTAAACTTAACAAAGCAAATCTGTAAATATGTAAGTTTTTGTTTTATTCTAATAAAAGTAAAATATTTCCATGAACAGACTGTTTCTGTGGTTGTCTCTCAGCTATCTTTTAAATTAAAGACATTTGGTATATTCCTTTAACCACATGAGTGACTAAGATCTAATTTCTCCTTACAATGTCACCAATAAATCACATATGAAGGTAAGGATAATAAAGGAAATGATCACCAATTTTAGCTTTTGATTATTAAACAAATTCTCCTTGTCAGCTGAGCACCTCAGAAAATGTATGGAGGACAGTACAGAAAATGTGTACTGACATTAGGGTGCAAAGGATTATGTATAAGAGGCACAGTGGCCTTATGGTTGGTTCACTGGACCAGGATAGTTTAGTAATATCAAATGAGTTGATAATGTGAATTGGCCACCATGAAGAGTTTCAAAGCTGATGTTTGGAGTGTTAGCCCTTTGTCCCATCAACACAGTGTTAAGTGTTCCATTTCCTGCAAACTGTATGTGTCACATGTCACAGGTCAAAACTCACTAACTCCCAGTGAAAACAAAATCATTGGACACCAATAAACCATTGCTAAATTTCTATTTCAGCTTGCATTAAGAAATCATTTTCTCTCAATGACTGTCATTGTTCACTCTTTACAGGAAGAAGAGAAAGGACCCTGGGAACAATAATTTTTAAGAGTTGGGAGGTACTACAAACCAGAAACAGTGAGGTTTGATTCCCCTCAACCTTTGATGTTCCCCTTGCTTTCACCCTGCCGTGTTTAAAAGCACTCACAATCCAAAGTTAACTACTCAGAAGAAAGGGATTTCCTATGGCCTTCACATTGACAAGCTGTGGCAATCAATAGGTACAACATGAAGTCCTGCAAACTATTTATCACCACCCTGTTTTTATACCTTTCTACTATGAAACCAACATGAGTAGCCAAGGCTGTGCTACTAACTGAGCACCTTGTTTGACTTTCCTTTGCTTTTTAAATATAACAGCCTCATTCTTAAGTTTTCTTTTGGTGTTTAGAGCAACTGAAAAAGTCAATGACCCAGTCTACATTAGCATGTCATGAAACCAAGACAAATGCACTGCTTTTCCAATAACTTTTATTAATCTGCCTCAACTGTCTGTACATATTAAACAGCTCAATTTTCTTCCTTTAAAATTATCTTACAAGAATCAACTTCTAATTTGGAAGAAAAAAAGATTTGTTCTGCAAGTTTGGTACACATAAGTATGAACTGTATTCCAACAAACCAAAGTCACTTTAAATCATTATTCAAATATCTACCAGTGGTAAAGCTATTCTACACTTAATATTTCAGTTATAACCATTTAGTAGATTGGTAACAGCATGCAGAGCCCAAAGTGGACTCTTTTTTTTATAAAAAAGGTAATTCCAATGACTACTTTTGGTGATGTTGCCTTATGAACTTTTTAGTTCCTGTCCAATCTTATAACCAAGAATCTTGTTCCAGTCAACTTTGGTTCGTGTAATGGGAAGCTGCCTTCGTAAAGCCTTAAAAGTAGTCTGTGACATGGTAGTGTAGTTTTCTGAGAGCGCTTTCTGCAAAAGACATATAATCAAATAAACAATACAATAAAACAATATGGAACTACAGGATATTGGTTATTGTTTTGCATCAAAACACACTTTCCCTAACATGCCAACTGACAAGTTGCTGTAGATGAGTTAGATACCTGGTAGTCACTTTCTGCAGTGTCTATTATCTGTAAAAAATGCTTTGCTGTTCCAGCTTCACTCTGCAAATTTAAAAGAGTGGAGTCAATGTCTACATCTGAAAAAGAAAACATTTGAAAACAGATAAACTAATGAATGATAGGTAAGGATTGCAGCTGATGACATCAAGGTAAAACTGACTTGCATCATCAGTTGAATGGAGGTAGGTTGCATTTGGAAAGTTGCCTCTTTCTCTTGATTGACTGCTTTCCCCTACTTTCACAAAGTCAAACTTTGGAAATATATTTTGTACTTCAGACTTCTAATTTCATGTCTAAATTAACAACTGGTTCATACATCAGCGTGTGTTCATTGAGATATGAAGCATGCAGGAAGTTTGGAAAGCACGAAAGATGCATAGGAATTGCTCTCAACTATGCCTTGAGCAACTCTAGCTTCTTGAGTGCTCTCCAAACTTCCCAAGTACTTCATACCTTGATAAATGCACAGCTGACATATGAACCAATTGTTTTATAACATTTTCAACCCGCTTGAAAATTTATTTTTCTCGAGGGATTTGTTTGCTAACATCATGAGCGTGCACAATAGGAATACGAAGCATGCTCGTGCAATTGAATTTGATTACACAAATTTACAAGCTATGTTATAAATATTGTTGATTGAGTCTAAAAATTCAACTTTTAGAAAGCATGCAGTACAGTGCAATGCCTTGCACACTCCAGTGGACATACAGCACCCCTCAAAAGTAAGTTAACAGTCTCCACTCAAAACTCTATCCTCAAAACTTGTTCATCATTACTTTCCAGAATCAAGGATCAAGGATCCAATTTCAAGAGATTGTCAAATTACTTTTGAGTAGTCTACTTACTGTAAGAGGCCCTACAACTCATGCTCATTTAACACAATTTCATCTACCAAATTTACAGAGAACACTACATGGGCTGTTCTTCACTTACTGTTACTTTAAGATTTTCCTTCACTTCTTTGGATGACACAAGCTGAACATTGCCATCTTCATAGTAATGAACCTATAAGTTTCCAAACAGGAAATTATCACATCAAAGTAAGAAATAAAAAAAAAAACAAACAAACAAAACAAGTAAACCACAGACTGATGTCAGACCAACAACTAAGCATTACACAGCAAGAAGTCAACTTAGTTTGTTTATTTTTGATGAAGACCTTGCTTGCCTAAATTTCATCACCCTGGCCTGGGGTAGAATTATTTGAGTCCCTAAATCTCCTACACCATCACATGTAAATCTACTGACATCCAATTGTTCCTAAAAACCCTCCACTCATAAAATAAGAGTATATCTTGAACATTTCACTTCATATGCTTCCTATTTGTGTTTAAATAAGGACCTAGAGTATTTTGCCCACATATCTCATGACAAAAAACCCTTGGGGGAAAAAACAGCTCTAAAATTATAGCTAAAAATTATAGTAGATACTCCATAGGTTTACGCAAAATAAAATATTTGGAGATAAATGATGAATTAGGGAAAGACTGAGAGATAAAAAAAAGTGAAAGCAAACTGTGATGGGCAATATACTAGCAATATATTGAAAATCAAGTTTAGGAGAAGTTATTATAATTTTACAAATTTCAGTTCATATGAAAGAAGGACACTTATATACCCATCAAAAACTATTGTTTGTGGCTACAATGTAGTATCTGTTTCTTTTACCTGCACTTTGAGGACACCAGTGACTTCCACGCTTCCACCTGATGGCTGGAATGACACAGACCACTCTGAACGCCACCTACCATTCCTGTTGAAAAAGAAAGGGAGCAAGTTATTGCACCAGCCTTGGAGCACAATTGAGTGGAAAAGGGTACCAAAAAAGTCCCACAGAGAACAACAACCTTGTTTGTTGGTTTCTAATGATAAACTGAAGTGCAAAACAAAAGAAACTCCCAGAAGATGGAAAAACATTTACACCTCTCCCCTACCTCAGGTAAGGCAGAGTGAGAGCCAGTTTCCATCTATACTGTATTTGTCACTATCATCTATGTATGAGGTAGATATGGGTACAAAAAATTGCAAATTAAAATTGATATCTCATTGATAGCTGTTCTTACCAAAAGTTTTGTGGTTGAAACTGGTGATCCTCTATACAAACAATCAACTTGATTGATCCGCCAGACATAGTTCCATAGACCTTCAAATGTAACATAAATATAACTCAAACACTTTCCCCTTCAACAAGAGGATGCAATTCCTTAAGAAACATATATTGGCGAACAGTCAGCAAATACGTTGAAAGTTTATTAAAATTTAGTCCTCAGGCCTGGATTTTCTAAAATGTAAGAGGGATGAAGTCTTGAACTGATTGAAGTTTGAGTTTTGTAAAAGACTCTACAAATGGAAAGTGGAGAAAACAAATTTAGTATTTCCTACAATATTTTGTAATTTTTAATCATCAAAAAGTGTGAGCATGCAATACAAGAGGGAGCTAAACTCATGAATACAGAAGCCATGAGAAGGGCGGAACACTCTAGAAAATTATAATTTCTGCACATTCACTAATGCTTATTTATATGAACTTTTTCCAATCCTGACTTGATTGTGCACCATAGATGCAGCCAAAAACTGATAAATCCAGCCAAATGCACAATTCAATCACTCTTGGCGAGTAATGTTTTCAATCATGGCTGTCCCATGAGAGCTGTCTTTCTGCCAGTTTTCACTACTCTGTACTTAACAAAAGAAAAGGAAAAAGTTGACGTACTGTACAGACTCCATGAGGGTAATGCTCTCTGACATAACTTGTCACACTCTCTTCAACAGCTGCCCTCCATGCTTCAGCTGTTGGATTAGCACTGTGTGCACTAGGATTACTTGCTTCCTGTTAAATCAAACACAAAACAATAAACCTATGTATTTTTCAGACAATTAAAGGTCCATCTAGTTCAGTTAGGAGATCCAGTAGCTTACAGGATATCAGAGGTTGCCAAGTTTTCATTCCAGTAAATAAGAACATCCCCGTATGTTGAGCTCTTTTTGACTATGGGTGTAAAAATGTTCAGAAGTGGAGATTTACATAATGATTTTTGTTGAAATAAAAAAGGTTAAACATTTCTGGCTTGTAGCTAACCAAACCACTAACTAGTCTACCATCTCAAGCCAGCCACTTTCACCTCATTTTGACATAATTGCTCATGAACAATAATGTAACCATTGAAATACTTATAGAATATATTTGTTCAACAGCTATTTCCCAGATTCTAATGGGATTGAATGCAAGATTTATCAGCAACAGGTTTGAATATATGAATAAATTCAAAATTAAGGATTTGCTTATAGGTTTCTTCAAACTTCGTCAAAGCCCCTTGGCACTTTGACTTAATAGTTCCCATTCTTACATGTTATCTAAACCAAACAACATTGTGCCCACAATAACCTGACTGTTTAATACTTCTTATTTGCCTTCTACTTTCAAACTTGTTGACAACTTCAACTCCCACAAAACCAACTGACACCATCTGTCTGTTATACAAGTAAATTAACAAAGTGCTTAGGTGGAGGTGAGTATCCCATCCATACAGATGGAACATTCTCCATGGCTGGTTAACCATAGCAATGTAACAAATTCTGACCAATACAGCTTGTCAAAATACAAAGTCTGTGGTCTGTAGAAATAGAAATAATGGTGAAGGAAATACACAACTGCAAAAAAATGACATGGCTCTTACCTTACGCAAGTGGTCATACTGGAAGCTTTGTTTACTTCGAGGATCATAAAATCTTCCATCAGATAGTTCACCATGTCTGGTCACCAATACCTTTAGGATATTACTGATATCAACAACTCTGGTATTGTACATACTTGGAAAATCATTTCTTTTACATACTATCATAATAAAAGAAATTTTAAGTGTTAAAGAGTTGATTTTAAAGGCAGAGAAAAGTGCTAAGATTAAAAGGAAAGGCAGTGTTGGAAGAAAACATATTATGTGTATTAACATTGATAATCAACTCTAAATTCCTTGGAAAAATGAGCATAAAAGCACAAATTTCCTAAATCAAGTAAATGTTGATATATAAAACCTAAAATATGTCAAAGAGAAACTTTTTTTTCAATTCTGTTGTTATGAACACAAAAACAACACAGGGCCTAATAAAATAGTTACAAAGAAAGCTTGGATAAAACCTTGTGATTCAGGGGTAACAAAAATTTCCAGCGAGTTATGTACTCACCTGTTCATTTGCACCTTCAAGTTTCACTGGTGTGAACTGTTCCTTATTATAGGCTGAAAAAGAGCTGTTGACAAAACCAGCAACCGAAGAAAACAAAATTATATTTTCATTTATCGCAATTGCTTAATACAAATATACTACTAATCATAATCCCTACTGAATCTACAGAAACAAGCAAAGGTACAATTAACATATAGGAAACAAAAAGCACAACAAAGTACTACAAATGCAATTAAAACATGTCACAGAAAAATTTGACAATTCATACACAGTAAATGTTCTAACCCCAAAAATCTGACATATTAAAATCTCACAAACTTTTTAATTTTCTATTTAACCCTGCAATAGGCCCTGCATAAGGAGTTGAAAACAATCAGGAACTCACGAGCTTCTTTTGCTCGTGTTCTACAACTGTGCTGATGTAGTACTCATTCTTTTCATTTGTATGGTGTAAACATCTAGTTGCGACCAACATACATGTACAGATATTATGTGAAGTAACATAAGATGGTAACATCTTTACATTGGCACTTCCTCAGAGCCAAGCTACGACATGTTTTGCAACACCTAAATCAAGTACATGACTACTGAGGCCCTACAAAGGATCCATGTTTTACACCTTTTTTCCTTAAAAGTTTTTAGTTTATCAGTACATCACGAGCAATTCATTTCAGTTTTAATTTCTAAACAACATGCACTGTCTACCAGAAAAGGTGTGACGGAAGATAATCGGCTAATACTTGGACAATTCTTTCACATTTATAACTGTGTTAAAAATTATTCAGGTAAGATGCGAGAGTCCCTAATCTTTTTGTATGAAATGCAAATAAATGATCGAGTATTATGACGTTAAGCTAGAATTTATAAAAATAAGAAAAACTTGTTTAAATTAATCGTTGAACATCACACACACCAACCTCGAAGCTTTCTCCTTCAACAGACTGTCGTTGTTCAACAAAATGCGAACATCTACAATAAAAAAACAGTCCTTATCTGAAAGTAGAATAAATTAAAACTCAAAACACTTCTTTGCAAATCATGCCTACCGTTGAAGACTTCGTTGAATTCTCCTGGTGGGGCGTGTTTGATGAAGTCAGAAGCTATCCGCACCTAATTGGTGGAACCACATCGATTCGTCAATTGCAATACTTCAACGATGAATAACTTTTACAATGGAAGTATATTCATTTCCATACCTTTTCTTGGTCTGAGATGGGCTCGTCAAAATCTGCCATTTCCAAAGGTCTCTTTTGTTGGAGATCACTGATGTTCCTTCAAAATTAAGATGGCGGCCAAATTACAGCAACGCTAGGTTTCCTGGGAACTTCGCGGAAATGCCCAAATTTGGTCACAATTTGAAACTTGAAGCCAGCAAAATTGTTAAACAGCGGTTTATTTCGCAAATATGGTGACGTCAATTCAGCAACAAAGAAAGTCAAAGTTAATGTATTCTAAAGACGTACGCTAATGTTCGTGACGATATTTGTGTCGGAAGAAGTTCTTGAATGTCATCCTTACCGGGAAATGCTTTGCAAGATCGCGAAGCAATTCGTGTAAAAGCAGTGGTACGTGTAAAAACCCCCAAGCATTGCTGTAAAATAGTGGAATGATCTTTTGCTTTCAACTAATTACTTATTCATTTAAACTTTCCATTTCCTTTAACAAATTAATCTACTAATTGTTATTATTTTTTCTTTTTTTCAGTTATATGATGGAAAATTTGATGGTGAAGGAGTCAAGAGGTGCTTCTCTGTAGACCCACATATCACGTCTTTTAATAATCTTTGTCAGTTATTGAAGCGAGCCTTTCAATTACAAGGGTAGGTAAATACATCGTGATGTGAATGTTCCAGCACTACTCTGTTGTCGCAGTTTTTGAGCGATTTAAGGGTACTTTTCAAACTGGCATTTAGCAACTACGAAAGAAAGACGAGTGGGGTCGATATCTGTTAAAAAAACTGGCAACTTATTTTTCATTTATTGAATAAAATTGGTGACCGTAGTTGTTCATGCACAATTTCTCGTTCTTCGTTTCACACAGTCAATCGGTGTACATAAAGTTGTCACCTACGTGGCCTCTAATGCCTCCATAGCGGCCAACGCGAAACGTATTTTTTGTTCTGAGTGAGGAATCAATAAAAGACGATATCACAAAGTCATTCACCCTCAAGAGCAACCGACTCGTTAAATTCATATGTTTTCGATTTTATCCGTTAACCGGTGAAATCTGAAATGGAGGTACGAGGTTGTAACAACAGTATTTGTAAGGAACACAGCGCACATTAATATCAGTGCAGATAAAAGGTTCGGCTAAATTGAAGTTATTTTAGGACCTGGCTCAGTAAAACAACGAATAAACTTTGTTCAAATAACAGGCCCCTAATTTCTCGTGCAACGACCAATTTACTGCTACACGTAGAAAAAAAGATTCCAAAACTTTGTGGAAGTAGTATCCTTGCTTTAAATGGTTGTTGAGAAGACTTTATTTTTTTACGTCTTTTCCTATACAGGACTTCTTTTTCATCATTTACGCAACCACAGGTACATTTAACAGCTGATTTTCTCTTTTATGAACCATTTTTAGAGACTTTGAAATATCATATCAGCTCCCACAGTCAACAGAAAATGGAAGGAGACCAGACGTGTTTATCTCACTTACATCTGACTTTGATCTTGATGCTGCCTTCATGAGTTCATCTTTGCCATATTTGAGTCTCAAGGTTGAACCTGTAGTTTGTTCAGGTAATATGGGTTTTCATAACTATAATACTAGTTTACATGCCTGTGACATTTCAGTAATAGTCCAACTAAAAAAGTTCCAAATCAACCTGAATTAACTTGACCTTATTGTAATGGAGACCAAAAAGAAGAAATTACCTTCTTGTTGATAACTGGTTTGTTAAAATACAGCCATGAAGGAGTCTTGCAATTAAGTGGAAAATATAATAAAGTCCTACTCATAGATCTAGCTGTCTAAACACTGCAAGCAAAGGCTACATGATATCCTAAGAGCTAGCTATAAATATAGCAAGTGTAATTACTTAAATATGTTGCAAGGTCAAACAAACGAACAAAATGGCTGGCTCTTTTCTGGGCTGGTTAGTGGTTTCAAGGCCTTTGAAAAAAAAAACAAGGAGTAACAAGGACTTATTTGTAAGTTTAGAGCTGACAACATTAAGCACTGCTTGGAGACATAACTTACAGTTGTTTTAGGTTAGTCTGGCAATATCTTGATACAAAAGGGTTAAATTTTAACTTTAAAAAAGTGAAGCACAGGTTTCAGACCTCATATGGAATTGGAGTGTGGAAAATCTTATTTCCCAAGAATTTGAAATTCAAATTTTTCTGGGGGCAAGATATCCCCTTTAGACAGGGCAATCGAGTTTTATTACGTTAGCATTCATTTTGTGCATGCTTTTATCAAAAGAGAACTGCAATTGAGTTGGACACAAGTAACTGAGAACACTGAAAGCTAATGAAATCTGCTAGGGTAACCATGTTGTTACTGTAGATTTGAATTAGCAAATGTACACACACAAGACTATTGGTTGTTTTTCTTGTTCAAATTCATGACCCCTCCCCCCACAAATTTCTAAAAGCATGTGATTTCTATGGCATGAAGGAAAATGTATTTTGAGGTTCTAAGATTTTCTTTACCAAATTTTGTAACTGGACATGTTAGCCCAGGAGCCAATTCAAATGTGAGCTTGAATTCAATGTTATAAAGCTGGGAATTTGAACCTTAACTTTTTCAATCTCAAGATCACATCAGTAATACTCATTACTATCTGCTATACAATTCCTATGATGGTAGCTTGGAGGATTTGCATTTCTTTACATGTCATGAAAATTCATCCATAGAGGACTGACTGTGGTACCAACTAGTACTTATCTATTGTATTTTCAGAAGATAGTCACAATGACTGGACTTTCCTTGAGGCAACAGAAGCACCACTGACTAACAATGTACAATCTACTGGAGTTTCCTCTGCAGTTCCCTTCCACATATCCTTAAAACATCAAATGGAGCGAACGTTCAGCAAGATTACCAAAGCTTTCACTGATTCAGTCAGACGAGGACCTCTAAAGGAATTAGAGTGGCAATGTCATTTGGACTCTGAAGGGCGTGTTCTTGCCATTGAGGAGTTATGGGTTCGAGTTTTCCATGGGGGTGGACTTGACCCTGTCTTACGCAAAGAAGTTTGGCCACATCTGCTCAATGTGTTCCCCCCTGATTTAACTAGAGAAGAGAGGGAGAGACATTTGAAAATGAAATCACAGGTTTACTGTCATCTGAAGTCAAAATGGAAGAGAAAATGTCCCTTAGAGATAGAATCCATCACCCATTTGATTATGAAGGATGTTTTACGAACAGACAGAACTCATCCCTATTTTGCAGTCCCTGATGATCATGAACACATGGATTATTTATTTAACATCTTGACAACATATGCATTAGAAAATCCTGATGTATCTTATGCACAAGGGATGAGTGATCTGGCAGCACCTATTCTTGTCATTTTAGATGATGAAGCAGTAGCGTATACTTGCTTTTGTTGTCTGATGGAAAGAATAAAAGGACACTTCCTTTTAAATGGTAAAGCAATGACACTGAAATTTGACCATCTGTCACAATTGGTTAATCGCATGGAACCAGAGTTCTTTAAGTATCTGATGGATATTGGAGCAGATGACATGTTCTTCTGCTATCGTTGGCTTCTCCTTGATTTGAAGAGAGAATTTCCATTTGATGATGCTGTTCAGTTAATGGAGGTGATTTGGAGTTCACTGACCCTGCCAGCAGAATCAGCAGCCCGTGCTTCAAATATGGTTTCTGGCTTACCCAGAGGTAACTCTGCTGCTGCTGCCATTTTAAAACAGAATGGTTACCATGCAGTTAATAACAGTAATAATGATAGTGAAGATGAATGGGATAGTGATTTGGAAGATGATGGATTCTATCCATTTACCTCAAAATCTGTTGATCAAGAAATGAAACTGATTGAGTTGCCAGGCCCATATCATCTTGGTGGTGGGAATCCATTTGTTCTTTTTTTGTGTTTGGCCATACTGTCTCTTCACAAAGATCACTGTATGAACAAAGAGATGGATTATAATGCACTTGCCATGTACTTTGACAAATTGGTACGCAAGCATGACCTTCATAAAACTTTAATGAAAGCAAGGGCATTATATACTGACTATCTAAGTTCATGTGGAGTTGAAAAAGATGATGAGACACCCATACCTGAAGAAACTACTTCATCTTGGTGCAGCCAAGAACATCACACAGATGTTTTCCTTCAGACAAACCATTTTGTTGAATGTTGATTAATTATAGGGTTTTAAGTAAATGCTTTTCTATTTCTTCCTAACTGTATGATAATCAACAACCGTTCATGGAAGTGGAGGTGGCTAGTGTTGGATATTTACCATGCAAGGTATAAATCCAAGGCTAGCCACTGACACTGACATGAACAGTTGTTTTTGTATGTGCTAAAACAGTGATATAATATAGCACAAAAAGTTGATTGGAAGTAATTTATTCCTGCGATGATTACTATATTTTCAAGCACAATTCCTACTTGTGTTGCTCTGAGGTTAATAAGAAAGGATATTCAGAGTTTTAATATATACTAGGTTAGGTAGTCCTGGGGTAAATCCAAGCCATCTGATTGGTTCTTACTCAGTCAGTATTTTGCCATACAGACTGCTTCAATGAAAATGGTTGTAAGCCATATATTTTTGTTGGCGAAAGCCAGCAAATTCAAAACAAACAAGTGTGGTCTGAGTGCCATATGATAAACTAATTACTACCATATTGGGGAATATTGGCCCTCATTCATTTTTATATGGACCTCTCTGCACTCGGTCCATACTGTTATGACTTCAGGCCAATATTCCCCAGTACAGCTCTTGCACTCAGTTAATAAGAAGTTAGTATATAATATTTAGTTAGTATCCATAACAGAGTGCAACATGTCCGCTTGTGAGTATTTATCAATCCTCTCCTATTCATGATATTTTTCACTTGTACGCTACACTCACTCTTGAGAGCTGTTGTAACATCTCATTGATAAAATTTGCATCCAGGTGTGGCCATGTGATTTCCTTTATAGGTAAGGTTTAGGTGAATCTAAAATGATTGTGATACTCTCTAGATCACAACAAGGTAGAAGAGGAATCTCTTTAAATAATTTACATATTAAACTTATTTATTGAATTCCTGAGATCCTGTAAAAGTGGCCTAAAACCTTTGATGCTAAACTAAATTAACAGCAAAAACATAGCTAACACAAAGAAATCAGCTCTTCATGAAAGCTTTACGTCAAATCATTCTAGATGGTTTTGTTGGAAATGGAGAACCAACTATTTAAAAAATTGAACAAAACAAGTTTCAATAACGAGTAGTTAGTCATGAAAGATAATCTTAAGGAATCTTTCTGATGATGTATTTTTTCAAAATTAACAAAATGAGAATGATAACTATATGGCATAGAATCCTTTTATAATAGTGGGCACAAGTATTATTCTTTAATATGCATGAATTTAATAGTGCAACAATCAGATGTGCCAGTTATGAAAGAGGTCTGTGCAAAAGTATTTTTTGTCGTAATGCCAAAAGAGGTGGCCATTTAGGTGGAAATACTATTTAATAAGGTAAACTATATTTAGTGTAATTCTGAAAAAATAAAGTGTGATGTTGTCAGTTAATGCAAACTTAAGTTGAATTTCACAGTGAATCTTCCACTGTCTCCTTACCTCTTTGTGTTATACCAAAGAGTATTTAATGTCTCAGGAGGGTTTGATTCCCTCCTATTCCATTTTTTAATGAATATCTGGGACTAGGGATCGTGTCTTCCTAAAGAAGATGCGCAAAAGGAAACATCAGAGTTCCCTTCCCTCTTCTAAAAACTACCTTACTGGAAGATGCAGTTTAGAATTTTTTATGGGGAACACCGACTTACCTCTCAAAAGAATAGTTTAAAATAATATACAAATCCGTTAAGAACTGGACTTTCGAAACGAGTTTTACCTTACGTAGCCTTTCTTTGAAAATACAGATCGGAGATGCAGTTCTTTTATTTCTCACAAGAACGAAAATGCAGATTGAATGGTTTATTCTTTCAATGGAACATCTGATTGGTTTTGACGAGGATGTGTCCATACCTCATCTTCTTTTCTTCAAATTGACTCTTTTGGGGACTAGTGGCATGTACATGAGAGTTTACGTGTTACGGATGGTTTTATTTTTAATAGTTGGACCACTTTTTCTAGTTAGACCATTTCGAGTCCTTGGACCCTTTTATCTAGTTGACTCATTTTAACAACTTGGACTATTTTAACAAGCAGGACCATTTTTTCTGGTTCAACCATTTCTACAAGGCAGACCATTTTCTTTAGCAAGATCATTTATTGCTAGTTAAACCATTTTATATAGTTAAACCATTTAAAATGCTTTAACTTTTTGGACCAATCATAGCATTTCGCAGTCCTCTTTAAGTTTTAGAGATCTTGCAAAGATCGTCGATGATACTCTAGAATAACGCTGAAGAATTTTTCTTCGGAACATTTTCAGTCTACACTGATGCGGCCGGAAGTTTTCGTTCTTAAATTTTTGCTAATATTTTCCACGCATAAAACACATGTACCCTTTCCGCTTCAGAGGCCGCTATTTGTGGCTGTTGTAGGACGTTAATCCTTTGGAGTGCACTTTGTTCGAACTTCCTTTCATCGCTTGATGTCCGCAATCAAAAATTCAATTCAAAAACCAATTTCCAAAGTGATTTAGGTGAGTGATGAAATAATTATTAAGGTTTTTATCGGCTTGAGGTCACGAGCAATATGCATTTATAAATAATGGTAACGAAGCTAGGGATGTACTCGGCGTCTGGAGAAAGTGTTACCGTGCCCGTAGGTAGAGATAGGATAATGCAGACCGCGCTAAGAACCAATCAGATTTCATAATTCGTTGACGTTTTCCCTCAGGAAAAAAAATGAGCAATTATTACTCTGTCCTCGCGACAACATCACGTCTAATTTCTGTTAAATTTAATCGAAATTGAACAAAATATTAAAGAAAAAAAAACAGGAAACATGATTTTTTTTAAATTTTACCTCAGTTGACGGTGTATAGCATGCCATAGCAGAGTCACGAGCCTCACCCACAAGTCCTGCGAAAAAATGGGCTTAACTCACGCTTTTTTTTCTTTTGTGCATATAATGTCCCAGAAGGGTGCAGTAGAGCCCAGTGAAATGGGGACATCAATAATCAACGTTCAGATGCCTCGGGCTCTACACCATGAAATCCATGTAGATGATTTGAATCAAGTTTGACATTGTGAAAAGACATGAGAGAACTACAGTTATCTTAAGGGCTTGAGAGAAAAGGGTAGAACAAGTGATATTGTGCCATAAGTCTAAAGAATGCTTTTGGAGAAGTTCGAGATGTCTTAGGTTCGTTATAATCCTGATGGGACTTCACTGTTTTCTAACCTAACATCTTAATACAAAAGAAGGCTTTCTTGGTTGACATGATAGGTCATGATACAACTAACGATATCATGAAGAACCCCGTAGACTACAGACAAGAAGATGGAGCCGATTGCTGAATTTAGACCGTGCAATTATAAATAATGCTAATTCACTCGAAAACCAAATTAAAAATTGTGAATTTAATTATATGTATATTACAGAATTCAGCAAAGAGGTTTGATGGACTGACAGGCGAACAATCATCCAAGCCAGTAATTAACTACACTGGACCAATACTGGAAAGGAATAAAAGAGAAAAAAGGGTAGAAAGATTAGCAACCAAATATCACAGCCACCTGAATGGCTTACAAAACAAAAACAGTTCCGATTCATTATCCACAAGGAGCCGTATTATATCATTGTTATCCTCTCCTTTACAGCACCTCACTGGGCGCTAAATTGCGGTGTTCAAGGGAAAGGTTTCTATTAAGTAATTAACATCGTTTCCAGGCTTGAAAAAATTTTGTCGTTTAGCATATTTTCAAATAACATAAACAATGGGTAAAGTAAACATGACGCAAATAAATTTGAAAATCCAGTCAGTTTTGACAAACTGTCAGAGAAAAAGCGTTGGGAAACTAAAATTTTCAGCATGTATTTGCATATGAATAGTAACCTTTTGTCCCCACAAAGACAATCACTTTACTTAATGCTTTTAGTTGATGAATTCAAAGGTATATCTTTTCTCTCCGCGACATCCTTACAATTGTAACCCTGGGTTTTTTAAATCCTAAAAAATCATTTAACAGCGATATGCTATCGTTCATTCACAAACACTATCAGAGTTACGCTTCGAGATCTGTACCCGCAAATAAAAATGTCTGCAAAAATTGACGTCGCCAAGACAACAGGTTTGCAGCTGTTTGAAGCTTTTCATTTTAGTTCTGTTTAAATTCTGGTCTGTCAAAGTGTTAGAATTGTAATGAGCTCATTCTCGCCGCCATGTCTTGTGGCTTTATCAACAGGCGTTATTCGCGAGGCCGAAAGTTTCTGTATGAAGAAGAAATCCAAAAGCTCATCGAAGGTGGAGAAAAGTTGAAAAGGAAGACCATTTCAACGCTTGCAGTCGATGACAACTATCGAAGTCGGCTCGTAAAGACCACGAATTTAAACGAAACGCTGAGCAAACTCCAGCAGTTTGGCTCGGGTATATGTCGAATCGAAGTCGCTCAAGAGAATGGCCCTAACTACACTGGAACTGGTTTTCATTTTGGTGATGGATGGATTCTCACTGCTGCTCACGTTCTTCGAAATCGTGATAAAGTTAACATGGCAAGATTCGTTTTCTTCCCGCCAGGAACTGAAATTTCATTTGAAGCGAGGCCCCGAAGAGCAATAGTTCACCGCTTGCTTCCCGCAGGTCGAAGGCCTGATTATCATAACCGAGATATCGTATTGGTCAAACTTGGCTTTCAATACACTTACGGGAGGAAAAAAGATGATCTGGAGGAATGGGAAATAGACGAGCAGCAACTCCTTGAGCAGTCTGATTTGTTCAATTTTACCTCGTTGTTGGAAAAAACATTCACTCCCACCGGAGATGAGCAATTCAGCTTGAAATCCACGGATCCACTAACAATTATTCATTTTGGCAGTGGACAAAATGACCGCAAGAAATTTGCATACGACATCGAAACGTATGAAGTGTACAAACATATGGATCTAAAAGTGATCAACTTTGCGTTTTCCTTTGATAGCGGAGCATCGGGTTGCCCTGTAATTCAGCGTGTCGGGGAGAAGTGGATCCTAGTGGGTGTGTTTTTTGGCGGGGCCTATTATGAAAATGAAGCCAATTCAATCATAACAGGGCAAGCTTTGGTCTGGAACCAAGAAGTCGTTCAACACATTGAAGCTGGACGGGAAGCTGTCGACAAGATGTCCAGTTTCAAGCAGTATAATGTGTTTATTCCGTTCTCTGAGAGAGCTCAGCTTGTACTAGAGACCAAAGTGAAGGAAGCCGCTGACCTCGCCGTAAAACATCGCATCTTGATTCTGTGATCCCATCTCCAAACTGTTTTTGACTCAAACATAGCGTACTTATGACTTGTCAGTAACGATATCGTGTAGGACCGAATATCAACTTAGCTCATTAACAAGTGTTAAGAAGTATGGAAATGAAAGCAAAAGCATGACATGTACTAAGGCTTACGCCTGAGTGGCGGGAAAAATAAAACTATGTATGCAAAGTCTGTGAGTCACGTCAGCCCGCGATTTTCTGTCAAGACGCCGTTCACTTGAAAATAACTACATGGACTTTGTCATCTTTCGGTCTCGACCGCGTAGTGTGATCGCGAGTACTAACTCTCTTCAGCGAAATTTTGTATTTACGTTCTTACCCACTGCATTTCAAAATCCCTGATTTGAAATCATAGTTATTGAATGCGTATTACAAGCTGGCGCCGTATAATTAGCTAGTAAGTCTGAACAGAGAGAGAAATATTTCAACATGATCAATTCCCGCGCCACGTCAGATTCTTGTGGCTGAACTGACTCATATGTTGCACGGTGACACAAATGAGCTCAATTTCATCTTCTTTGGCCATTAAGTTCACAACAAAATGAAATGAAGAGAGGGTCACCCACCTTACGCTCAAGGTCTCGAGTCGCTTTTGTTTCGATGTTTGATATTTCAAGTATAACAAGCCCCTTCTGTGTGCTCACATGGGTGGTCTGTCAAGGGCGAAAAAGAAAACTTTTCCAAGTGGAGATGTAGCCGAAGTGTAGCCTCGCCTGAAATGAGGCTAACCCGCCCCCTACCTTGAATGAAAAGCGAAACGTGAGATACTACCACACAAGTAAGCAGAGGCCCCGTGTCCTGCATCGGTTAATTGATAGGCAGTCACATTAATCAATCCCTACACTGTTGTTTGAATATGTTTCTTGTGGTGCTAATGAGGAGACTTCAATTCAGCCGAATAGAACAACAACGAAACATTATCCTCTATAAAGAGATTAGAAAGAGTCTTTTAAAGTATCACTGGGTGGATAAGCTGAGCCTTGGGTTTCATATATAGAGTTGAGAGGCTCACTGCTAACTTGAACCTCTGAGAGATAAAGCTATCGGGAGTGACGCCGAGAGAAATTGGCTAATCAACGACATGCGAAATTAAAAAAAGTGCTAGTTAACTTGTTGGTCTAATTGGCTGAAACAAGAGCCATACATAAATTGTTACACCTTTGAAAAAAAAAACACTTGAAACCGTTCGGTAAAACAAATAGAGTGGATAAGAAAGACCAAACATAACCAACGCACACTCCCACAGCCAATAAGCTCACAGAAAAACTTAGTTTCACGGTTCAGACTCATTGCGTTCGACTGATAAACTACGCCCTCGCTTAGTTCTGATGATGAATTAGTTCCTGTTATTGAAGACTCTTTTTCTCAGGAGTAATTTCTTCCGGAAAATCATTTTACGTGATTTATTGTTGCCCTTGACTTCAAACCTTATTTATGTTTGCTTAACGTTTAACATGTTTTGCCCTTTATTTTCTTCTTTTTCTTTGGTCTTGCGTTTTTAACTGATGAGGAGAGAACTAGTAACAATATTTGTTACACCCATTTTGAAATCACTGGTGGTCCCTGCAATCTGATTGGCTCTATTTGGTGCGATTTATTCACTAATCGCACCATTTTTTGCTTTAAATCGCATCTTTTTCCCAGCCAATGAGGAAGCTACACTAAAAATGAAACAACCAATCAGATATCAAGGCTTGTTTAAAGTAACCAATCAAATTGCAGGAAAATGAAAGACAAAGAGTATCATTGGCAAATTTTGCAACCTTTGTTTCCAAAACTCTTACTTCCCCCCCCCCCCAAAAAAAAATGGATCAATTTAATTTCAAACCGGCTTAGTACTGTATCAATAAAATATTTGAACTGACCAAGGCCTGTATTTGGGCGATTTCAAAATGAATGTAATAAAGTGATAATTGAACCTCGTGTCGTACAATTTTAGTCTGAAATCACGCGTATGATTTCAGCCCAAATTGCACTCCAGTCAGTTCAATTACCATCATTAATCATCTTCCATCATAATTATCTACGTCATAATCACGCATAGTAAAACAGAGTGTCAGAGACGAATGTTTCGTCGCTGTCAAGGTTTCACTATGAAGCCTTTTCTAGCACTCAGCTGCAGAGCACTGCTTCTGTTGTTAATTCTAAACGAAGGTGTAGAGTGTCGGCCAATACAAGGTACGAAACGTAAGGTGTCGGAAGCGCCATTGTTAAGTACTGTATCGGATTAATAGCCCGTTACAGAGACTTTTATCAACAGACCGAACCACCAGGCACGCCGAAATTAGCAAACATTGCTCGCATCCAATTGTTTATGCATTAGAAAAATGCGAACGGGTTGGTTGACTCAGTTTGTTTAAAGCCACAATTATTTCATGACATAATTGAGGTGATGTTTAATCCCTGATTGATAAGCAACGCCTAAGCTATTTCCTCATGCCAGCACAAGCCGCGCGCGCCCGTGATTATTATTATTATTATTATTATTATTATTTTTTTGCTTTACTAAACAATAGAAACCACAGGTCAATACTACATAGGTTTCGGATTGTTCGATATAAACGAGATATTTTTTCTCGCATTTCACTAAATTTTAGCACGTCAAAGGTCGTGAAATCAGTTTCTTCAGTTATGTTCCAGACATAACGAGGGTAATCATGCACAGTTTTTTATTTAAGTTTTTTCCACCAGTCTTTGGTTTTCCAATCTTTTTGCATTTTGAACCATGGAAAAGGAAATAAATTGCAACTCACTCCTCCGCTTTTCAAGAGATCAGTCACTTTTCCCCTTACAGATCATGGTATCAATTTTGTTTTATAGTCAGTGGTGTGCTATCGGCTCATTTGATTGGAAATTGATGCAAATCGGTATTTTCTTTTCAGAAGTAAAGGCCGGCTGCATTTGTTTCTCAAAGTAAGATTTGTTATGATAGCGTTCAGCACACGACAACTTCAAGCGTGCAGCTGCCAGTGAACAGAATTTTAAAGTGCTTAATGGAAGCCGTGTTTGGAGGTGGTTTTCATATTCCAGTCCTCCGTAACTAATCGCGTTTTGATTGAATGAAGGTTTCACATTATTTTTTCAAACTGAGAGATCCTGAAGGTTATGACTCGATGAAAATGATTTTTTAAATGGAGCTGCCGTAGTAAGATTTTTAACACCACACCTCTAATGTGGATTATTGAATACGATTAACTTCGATTCTGGCACGGTAAATGCGAAACGTTGGCTTTATTAAAGGTTTTTCGATGTGTCTAGGTATCATTCAGAAGTGAAACACATGAGGTAAAGTGCTTTAAACTAGCTTAATTATAGCACCGGTCAATGTTACCTCTCTTTATATCATCTATGTATTTATCAGATTGGGATGAAAACTATCCTGTCGATGACGAGGATTGGAGCAGTGAAAGTAGACGTGATGGTTCAGGTGCAGGTTCAGGTTCATTGAATGTTCCTAACACTCCTAAAAAGAATCTCGTATCAACGGTTCACACAGCGAAGTCCGAGCACGAGGCCGCAACTGAAAGTGGCGGGGGTGGAGCTCTATGGTTGGTGGTGATTATTTTTGTAGTCGCAGCAGCTGTGACCCTGGTCTTTTTTCGCAGGTAAAGACGAGCTAGTGAAACATTCATTATAATTTAGCTCGCATCAGCTACTTGTCACTGAATCATTTACTCTGTCCCTACAATATCACCCCTGAATCAAACATGAAGGTCACCAGAAAAAAAGGAAACTAAAGAAGCTCCTGATTGTTACACAAATTCTCCTTTTCAGCACCTAAGGAAATGTATCGAGAAAAGTATGAGGATTATGCATACTAATGTAAGAATGTAAAGGGTTAAAGGAGAAGTACGTATCAGAGACCGATCAGTGTTCATCTCCACCGGTGAAAAGGAGATATGATTCTATGAAACTGACTGCGTTTGAAGGGTGAGACCAAAAATAACCAAAACTTTAAAAAATTGTCTTCGACAATAGACGTTGCCATTTTGAATCCTGGAAAGCAACCTGATTTCTCCTTTGACACGCAAAACCATCCTTTACTTTTCTATTTAACAACTCTTGGCGAGCTGTTTGCGCAGTTAGTAGTCTTGCGAAAGGGCAATTTCAACACAATGATTTACAGCGAAAATCAGAGCAGCAGCTGTCGGAGAACCGCACGTACTGTTTTGCATTTACGGCCAAGTAACTTAGTTGTCCATTTACATTTACATTTACCATATTACAAGCATTCCCTCTCTACAAGGCTTATATGCTCGGATTCGGATTTGAGACCCCGCTCTCAAAAACATTGAGACTTGGGGCTGTGCTTAGGGTGGCGGGCAAACTGTTCCACTGCTTTATAGGTAAAACGCTGTATGATCGAGTTTTCAGCACGTTGGGAGACTGTTCTCAAAAAAGTATGGAAACTCTCTGAAATCTCGAAAAGCGGTGATTAGTAAATTTCTATGTATAGATCTGAACAGCGGAAATAATAGTCACATGTTATCTGGAGCCGGCAAACTCGCCTTTTGAGATGAAATAGAAAAGGAGAAAGAATGAACAGTGAAGTCTTGTGGAGATATGTCGATCACTTCAAAACAGAAGTTCAATTAATTTGAAACACTGTATGCGATTTCAATTATTGTTGCGAAAGCCATATATAGTAAATGGAAAGTCCACAAAAGAAATAAGTTCATTTCAACAGCACGAGTAGCTAATTACTAAAAAAATAAACCATTGGTAAACATGTTGGCAGATCTTGGTACACAGCAGTCGTTGGAAAACTTGAAAGGTATATAAAGGGTGAAAAGATTGGCAAACAAGTTTCTTCCAACCAATCCGCCCTTAAAGAGGCCCGAGTTAAAGTTGGCAAACAAAAATCACGGGAAAATCGAAAAGTTCTCAAAGCCCTTAGCAAGGACCAAGGGGTATGCACCGAGAAGGAAGAACTGGCTATAGCTCGCTCCATCATTTCTCCAAGCATCGAAACAAGGAAAAAGAACTCTGAGGCTTTACATACTAGATCGGTATGTACAAAGACTCCGAAAGAGGAGTCCATCAGAGTTAAAAATGAATATAGGAATTACTGAAAGGGTGACCTCGTTATATAATGTGCACATCATCTTACTAACCAATGGGCATGTAGGTTTAGCACCTTCATAAAGTAACGTCGTTTGAGTACTTTTTTGGTAAAATCCATGTAAAAAAGATAAATTGTCAGGTAGTCTTGTCATTGACACATCGCAGTACTTCAAGCTGACACCAATTGTGCCGCCCTGGTGAGCACTGCCTACTGGCGATACAAGGTTTGCCTTTCGTTTATTAGAAAATATAATTTTTCTGCATAGATTGGTCGGCAGTCTTAATCTAAGCCTTCTCCCTTCCCAACTATCATACCTAAGAGAGTTCGAGCACTCGTTGTGTTTCTGAGTTAGAAACATACTGACAGTCGGGCTATAATTTTCTATGCAGTGTGTTCGTGTTGCCACTTCCAAGTCTCGACGTAAAAGCTCGTTCGGAGAAGACCTTCAGTCAGCACAGTATGTCTTTGCGAATGCTCCTGCTAAGTATGCTCAGATTATACATACTGAAGGAGAAGAGCCGAAAGAATCGATCCAAAAAGACTTTAGCAGCGAAGCTGTTAAGTCTGACCTCTCACAGTAAGGTATGTTAATACTGACGTAATAACCTCTCCTGTTCACCAGGAAAGGAAATTTTACCAAACATCATCAACTTTTACACAAGAAGCTCACACAGAACATAAATGAGGGCAAAACCATCAACAGCCTCACTAGCTAGAGAGAAAGTAATGCTATGGCTACAAGACGATCTCCACTCTTAAGCTCAGTGTCATTCGTATCTTATTTTGTCCCAAATTCTAATAAAACCGATGTTAGTTAAAGTCTGTGACGGTCACAACCGAGTAAAGAAACCTATTAACTTGTGATTCTTTTTTTCTTTTAGGCCTGGTTCAACTTTCAATTCTGGATCACTGGAAATCTCATTCCCCTTTTTAACGTTTCATGAAGGATCTTTGCAACGTTTACTAACCTTCTATCATTTCTACGTTTTTTAAAGACTTTTTTTTTTCATTTTCCCACTAATACACGAACCCTGAAACGTGACTCTACAAATAACTTTTAAGATCACTATATACGTTTAGCTTTCTAATCAGAGTGAAAATGATTCGTAACGTTTATTTGCTCTATTTCTTTCTTTTCTTCAAAAGTTTTGTTTCATTTATATGAACCCTAAAACTCGATACTACATATAAGTTTTAAAAGCTCTTGATTCTTGTTTCTACAATGAAAATATTTGGAGCATTTGAATACAATGCCAAAGAGTAAACTTTCTGTAATCTGTTAATCTATTCCATTCCAATTACTTGACGACTCCTGATGGGAAACAGATGTACAAAGAATTTAACATTACTCAGACGTATACTGCATAATCTCTGTTTTGAAGCCAACGGTAAATAAACACTATTTCTGAATACCCGTGCGTCGTAATTTCATTCGATGTCGTAACCTGTTTTGCAAGCTCTTTAAAAATTTGGAGTTTACTTGTAAAATGGGTAAAAATCTGGGGAATTTATATGATTTACAAGCTCTTTACTTACTGCACTAAAACCACTACTCATCATGAATACTTCAGTTGACGTCCTAACAGACTACTTCCATACAAACTCGCATTAGACAGATCTATTAAAAATGGTACTGGGACTGAGTGGAGTCCAATTCAGTCTGTCATTATACAAGTGATTACAAAATCGAACGACCTCGAGGAGGAGGTGTGATTTCTTATTCACGAGTATGACCACAGACAGAATGGGACGACACGAAGGCTTGTTACCAATTAATTAAAGCTATGACGAAATTTGAGAATTAAACTAGATATCGGTTATACTTTTCCACATGAAAAAAGACAATTGTTAATTCGGCGAAATGCGCGACAACAGCTCGATCATGACGCTCGCTGTCCACTTACACAGGCATGATAGTTCAACTGTCCTATTGCACTGTCCAGTTACAAGCATGACAAGTACACTGTCCTATTAGTGCTCAAATCGGGCTAGTTACAACCAATCACGCTCGAAAATGTTAAAAAATCCTTACCCACAGACACCGAATGGTTTTAAGATATGTTTTTTCGTTTATTTTTTCTTTTATTAATGACAACAGAAAACTGACTCACATTGGGAATGAACTTTAGCCTTTGACTTACATCATCCTTAGCCAATGAAACGTAACAACATGAAGTGTCTGTAAGACTGAGATAAATATCTCATCGCAACATCAGTAGTCTTCCAAGAGAAGAAACACCTAGCATTAGTCTTGTTTTAAGCGCAGATGCAACAAACATCCTTTAGAAAACTCGACTGCCTGAAGCCCTGTTACAGTTTCCTTAACGAACTGTTTGTTTAACATTTATAACCGTGAGTTACTTACCACGAGCTCGTCAGTGTTCACATAGAGTTCGAATTAATGTTTCATTAGACAGTATTGATCGCTGTATTATCTCGTTTTAACACTTTTGTTGTTGTTTTCTGCGCGTCTTTCTTCACACTCGGGGTCTGTTAATGTATCATGGTTCTTTATTTTCTTGGATACTCATGACACCTACAAAGCACGAAAACCAACACACAGTTTCACCGAAGAATAGCTAGAGTATTGTCACAGTCCTTTTGTTAATCTGAGCTCAACTAAGAGAAGTTAAACTCTACTTCAAACATTGCTTTCCTTATGTATTTAAACCTCAAACATTCTGCTCCAGTTTGTAGCCACTTCAGCTCTTGTTCAGATTGTAAGAGAGATAATTTCTCCTTGTTCGTTGCAATTGATTTGAGATTTCTCACTCGTCTTGAATAAAAATTATCCGATATCTCTCAGCATTCCTTAGCAATTTTCCTCAGATGGATGGCTCATGGTACTCGCCTTTCTTTTGATCGATTTTCAAAGATATTTGTGTAAGCAGCATATGAAGCTCAGGCACTTCAGTTTGGTCAGTTTGTTCTTCAGTCTCTACTTTTCCTTCACTCTTGGAGTTTTACGTCCATAAGTACGTCTCGTTCGTCTCCGCCCGAGTTCATACCTGCTAGTGTTGGGTTTTATCACTTAGTAGGACTAATCAATGCTCTCCAAGCGTTTAACACAGCAAGCCACAGACTGAATATTCCTGAACCTTTGTTCACTCCTGTTGAAAGCAAAATTAGGAGCAAGATTTCTCGGTGCACTCAAGTAATGTATCATAATTTTTTTCCGAGAATGAAAAGGATGAAAATTAAACGAAAATTACCGCGAATAGGAAAATGCTAACGAGGCGTTAAGGAGAATTAACACTGAAAAAAGACTTCGTACAAGGGGTTAGTATTCCAGAACAGTAACAAAAAGACAACTTTCCGATGAAAAGTTACCTTGATAACTACTCGCTGAGATGAAGCAGTAAATGAAAAACAAAAGGATAATCATTCTCACAAGAATCCTCGTTTTCTGATGGAAGAGGACGATCCGGTACAGGCTCTGAAGCTTTTGTACGACTGCCCTCACTCTTAGCCATCTATTGGCAACACCTACCAAAATGAAAAATGGAAAAAAAAAACATACTAAAATTTGAACACATTAAGAACAGAAAACTGTAGTTATTTCATTCTATTAGGTCTACAACTTTTAATCCATGGCAATCAGTTCTTTGCATTAACCTTTCAACTCTCAAGACGTAATTGTTAATTCTCCCCATAACTGCTAAAAAATTTTATTGTAAGTCAGTTAGAAGAATTTGGTGTCAGACTATGATAATAACTTCTACCTGATAAGTTTGAGTATTCTTGTTACCTTTTTGAAGGATAATGTATGAATATCGTGGGGAGAAGTTAAATGTTAATCACTTCAGCAAATGTATGGTTTAAGGCATTCTCAGATATATTATAGAGTTCTTCTGTAATAGAATCAATTGTCACAGCTTTTTATGAAATAAATCCATTCCAATGGCTGGCAAATTGGAGCATATGACCTGAGGCTGAAATACAGTTTGAAAAATGTACAGTTGGCCTGAAAAGCATAGTTATCAAGGCAACTATGAAAATTTGAAGACCATTCATGACCGACCGGTATCTTCCACCAATATTTCAGGGCTTTGAATGCTTATGTTTGGCCCACACCCCTATGTTAATTTTGTTGCATCATATGGTGGTTCTGAAGCCTACAAAAATAACACATACTACAGAACAAAAATGTTACAAGAGCCATTACTGTGGCTGCACAATTAGGTGATCCCTTTAAACATTAATAGTAAGTTACTAAGTGTACTTACTATGTTCTGCTGGAAGTTGAGCAGGGGCTGTTAGCTCATGTGACATGTTACACCTTTCAACCTAACATCCAAAGATAATGACAAAAAGTAAAAAAGTAAGCTTTCATAGATGAACGCACAGAGTCTAAATTTGTAGTGTTATACACATTTTTTCTATAGTTTTGGTTCAACAGTGGTCATTTACTTTGTCAAAATACTTAAAATGAGTTTCAGCTAAAATTGATGATATTTGCATGGATGGGCAAAGAGAGCAGACCTTTTAATTGCTTATAAATAAAAGAGCTTTTAGGTTGATTGGGTCAACTGTAAGAGCATCCTGAGAGAGGATACAAGTACAGAAAAATGGAAACTGTAACTTCATTCTGACGATAGAGTGAAACAGCCACAGTGGAGAACCCCTGCCAAAAAAATTTCTCTAATGTGATATTTTACTTATTTAAATACTAATTATATTGTGAAGTCAATCATAAAATACCTTCTCATTAGCAAAAGGTTTTGTGAACTGGAAAAGTACCTGGAAGAGAAATGTAAAATTATTTACAATATTGAGGGTGTCCAAAAGATGCTTGGGAATCTCACAGGGGAGAAAGATCTAATAAGCCAAAAATGTTGCAGAATAGTAAGAAAAGCGAAGGTTTTTTCTCTAGGTTTTTCCATTTGACCATTATAAATGTAGCTAGGAACCTGAAAATTGCATTGATGGTTTTAAGAATTAGACACATTTCTCTTTTTAAATCTATTAACAGTTTGGGTCACCACAGTTTCAAGAAAAATGTTTCATTATGAACTTGAGTTTGAGCTTTGTCAGGCTGTTTTAAGTCTTTTTAGTATCATAAGAGAGTACTTTCACTCAGAGTGTTTTCAAGAGATAGTTATTTTCCTAAAAGGTGTTAAGGTTCTAAAGTAATAATAATAAATAGTAATAATGGGATTAAGCAGCGGACATTCTATGAGGTGTCTCTTCTTGTCCTCTGATCCCAAATTGAACTGAACTTGAACTTGGTTTTTGTGGAGGGAAGAAAAGTGGAAAACCCAGAGAAAACCCCTAAGATCAAGGAAAAGAACCAATCAAAACTCAACCCACATGTAACACCAGGTCTGGGAATCCAACCCATGCCACAGTGGGGGGAGGTGAGCCCTTTCAGTTCTATACCATCCTCGTTATCCACAATGCCAACTTACTATACTTCTAACCTGTTTCTCACTGGAAGGAATGACTTGATTGGTCTCCAGAAAACATTTTATCTCCTCATGCAATTGTTGGGGAAAGAGAATATGTTTGACATAAACTTCTGCTATTTTCACATATTTAACTTGAGAGAAATTATCTTCACAAGAAAGCCAATCCTGAACAAGTTTCCCAGCCTCCTTGTACTTTGATGCTTTCAGAAGAAGACACACACTGCAAAGAATACAAAATTTAGCTCTTGGGAAACAAAGTGTTGAGCCCCTTGCTGAAAAAATAATAAAATAACAATTAATTCCATATGTTTCAAGGTAAAACACTCCAAAATTAAATTCATTTTAATAACTTCAGAACTAGAGAGAGGTCACAATTGTTAACTTTAACAACCATTTTTAAGAGCTCCTGATTTATTGCAATGTCTGAAATTCAATTAGGAGAACACTTATGTAATCCATCCCAAATATTCCTTGGATATCACTGAATACATCATTACCTTCATTACCATTTTTCATAAATATATCTCGTTTTTCTGCCCGAGGCTGTAGGCCTCAAGTGGTACTCAAGACCTTGGGCACAGTTTTTTCTGATACAGACCTCCCAGCTGGCAAATAACATTTATATATTGTTCAAATGTAGTTACATGATCAATTAAAACTAGATCACTATTAAACTTACCACAATTCCAAGGCTTCTGTTGGAAACTTTCTAAAATGTTCAAATGCTTTAGTGGTGAATGTAATAGCTTTTTGACACTGGTTTATTTCTGCAAAGGCTTGAATTCCAATAACTGCAAAATGTGTCCATTGATCTGAATTCCTGCATGTGGTAAAATAGCAAAATTCTACACTCAATGGAACAATATTATCCAATGTTCCTGTAAATTATCATCAAATTGGTATTACCACATCTGCATTTAAAATAAGATTTGCATTCAGTTCAAGAGGGGATAATTAGTTGATCCAATACTGAATTCTCTGAAATAACATTACAAGAATTGTATGGTTGAAAGTAAGTCACTAGTGGTCTGTTATCCCCAGAAGGAACAATCATATTCCATTCGATCTCCCTTATTTTAAATAATAATTTGTTTCCTTGAGGATCAACTTTGATTGCTACGAAATTTTACCGTTGAAAACCCAACCACATTTACGACTTTCATTTAAGACGAATCTCAGCTGGCCTTGATATTGGCTATATATCTTTTAGTTACGCTCAAACCTGAATAAATCGTTGGACAGGTGAGAGTCATCTCTCCTCTTCGAGACAAGTTCAAAGGCTCCCGTGCATACCTCCAACACATCATCAAACCGACGAAGAACTAAGAGTGACTTCGCTCTGTGCAACAGCTGAGAAATATCGTAATCAGTGCCCTGGCAAGAGATATCCATTCGGATGAAGTCAGAGAAGTACTATTAAATCCCATACCCCTCGCTCATAGCTTATGCGGCGGCCTGGGAACGACGGAGCAAACTGGTGAAAGGGCCAGTCCCGTCAGCTCACGATAGGGAAATGTGGGACAATAGCAATTTAATTGATAAAAAATGCTCAGTGGAAAATGGCGATTAAGTAAAGTCGATGTGTTAACCTGTGAAAGGCTGCGCAATCAAATTTTCTAAGACGAAAAGCAAGAAGAAAGGCAATTTCTGCGGGACGTGAGAAATTGTATTTGTGGCAGCTTTGCCTCATCGCATGCGCGAAAAAGAGCGATCACTTCATAAGTCATTAGGCATTACACAATTTTTCAGGTCGAATGGCTTTTGAAGGATAGTCTCGTAGAAGTTGTCTGACATAGTTCTGGAACTCAATTTATCGTAAAAATGTTTTGTTTCTGTTCTGTCTATTAACAAGTTTGTTTTATTCGCTGAGTTCATTTGATCTGCATGAGTCAGTTCCTTTTAATCTATAATTGTTACGTTTTGAGAACGTTTATCGTCCCTCCATACTCGTAAATGTTTAGAGTTGATGATGTAAATTGGCCACCATAAAGAGTTGTTTTAAGTTAATATTTTGCTTCATTGACTTGTCACAGTGATTATCACTGTCACTTTCTCTGTAACTCGCGCTGTCACCATCACTGTCATTGCCTCTGTCACTTTCACTACATATGTGAATGTCTCTCACTGACCCTCACTGCCTCCATCTCTTCACTGTTTCTGTATCACTCTGTCACCCTGACGGTCACTCTCGCTATTCCTGTCATTGTAACTGTCATAATAACAGTCGATTGTCACTCTCAATGTGTCTCTGTCATTGTCACTCACACTCATTGTTATTGTCTATGTCAGTCACACATGGGTCTTTGTCACTCCCAATAACGCTAACTGTCTCCTTCTTTGTCATACTAAACCTATCGCCAAACCTAAACCCTGACCCCTGCCCTAAACCATAACTCCTACCTCACCCTCATCACATCCCTGGGGCCCTTAACTGTAACGCTTACCATAGCCATTATCCACGACTGTATTTCCCAGTATCCATGTGTCTTGATCGTCGACAAAGACACTGTCTCTGTCTTTGTCTCGGTCACTGTCACTCCCCCTCTCACTCTCACTGTCAACGTCAGTGTAACTGTCACTGTCATTCTCATTGTCACTATCAGTCTCTGTAATTGTCACTCACTGACTCCGTCATTTTTACTTTCATTGCATTATCACAGCCTCACCGTCAGTGTCACTTTCCATGTCTCTCATTGTCACTGCCAGTGTTATTGTCAGTGTCAGAGTAAATACACTGTCAACGTCAATGTCATTGTTAAAGTCGCTTTCACTATAACCATCGATGTCTCTATCACTGCACCTGTCACTCTCATTATCAACAATACTGTCATTGTATCTGTCACTGTCGCTGTGATTGACTACTTTTCAGTTACTATGCGCTGTAATTTTAAGCCAAGGTCGTAGAGAATTTCGCAGAAGACTTTTCTGGTTTTGTCATCAATCCTTGCTCTCCTATTTTTAAATACCGCTAGTCCGTCTAAGTATGCAGTTGACAGATAGTGTAATATGTTGAGCCTGACTAACTCACAAACCTCTGCGCCAACACAACAGCCCATAGCGACATCAAACATCAGCTTTTACCTCTTTCGACCCTAGGTTCATTCTTGTCGAACAATAGTACTTTCCTAGGGCGCACATTAATTTCAATGTCCTCGTTTGTGGTAGCGGTAAGTTACTTGGCATATCTGACTGATCGAGATAGTAGCTGTTCAGTTTTTTTGGACTTAACAAGTTCATTAGCTTTGGAGGGCCTTGGTGTAGTACAAGCTAAGTTATCAAGTTTGGGCCAAACGAAGGGTCGTCGAAAGTGACAAACAACAGGTCACGGTATATGTTCCATTTTATTTAACTCCTTCTATGAATAAGTACATTTACAAAAAAGGTTAATACAGGCTGAGTCAGAGGAAACACCTTTAAAGTCTTTTACTGAAACAAAAACACCCAAAACACAAAGGTGTTTCCTTACAGTAGGGCCTCCTGCTGTATAACAAGGCAAACTAACACGTTCACAACTTGATAAAACACAAAGTCATCTTCTTAGCATGTGCTGATATGAGAACATTCTAAAATAAATTATGTGAATGTATCTACTGTTCTGTGACCTTGGATAGAGTCAGCGCATCTCTAAGCATGTGATCTCGTAAATTCCACAAAGCATCCACAGCATTTTCATAGTCGCCATAACCACACCCCAGCCACTGAATTGGTAACTGAGCCAGTTGTTGAGGCGTCATACTGGAAGCATCAGGTTTGCGAGCCTGGTTCCAATTGCTCATATGAGGGATCCCATCACGAAGTCCTTCAATGTACCTCAGATAAGCATCGGAATGATGTAACCTTTGAGGTTTAGGTGGTGGAGCGAGAAATATGGGAGGCGGCTAAAAAATAGGAAACACAATTAAAAAAAACAGAATCAGGCACAGATAACGAGTATAATTCCACAAAAATTATGTCTCCAAACCTTTTTATTAGTTGATTGTCTTACCGCTTCCTTAGGGGGTGGTATAGCTGCTACGTGTGGAGCCACTTGCTGCTGCTGCTGTTGCTGCGGCTGTTGTTGTGGTGGTGGTTGTTGCTGCTGTTGGTGTTGTTGCTGCTGCTGCTGCTGCTGTTGTACTTGTTGAGGATAGTGCGGCTGTTGCTGCTGCTGCTGCTGTTGCATTGTGCTGATCTGGTTCACTTGCTGTTGGAAATTAAACTGCTGTTGTTGTGGAGCAGGACTGTACTGCTGCTTGAGTTGTTGCTGATGCTGTTGTGGAAAGCCTACAATTTGAGCTGAAGAGGGATAAATCAAGAATTACACATATTTGGTGTCCTCATCGTAAAAGAAAAGCTTAAAATTTCCAACTTATAAACAATAACATATGTTGTCTGACACGTTACATTTTGAGTGATGGTTATGATTTTCACCTGTACATAAGATCAAGAGAAGAGTGGTACAGCAAGGTGATTAAGTGTTACCTGCCGGTGCTGCAGATTGTTGTGCAGGTTGCTGTGTAATGCCACTCATACCCATGTTCATATGCATCATGCCTGACACCGGTGAGGTATTTGAAGCCATACCACTCACTCCAGCATTTCCTTGATAAAGAGCTGTGAAAATATCAGACACAATACAATACAAACCTTTTGACACTTGAATGAAAGTTGTGCAAGAAATAATAACATTGAGAAAGACCATAGATATCACTCATATAATATACTGCATAGGTCTCCTTTAACACCCGTTATTTCAAAAGCATCATAATTGTAATTAGATGAATCATTGAAATTACAGATTTAAAGCTGCTTGAAGTCATACGACTTTATCACCTATCTAAATCATTAGGGGCGCCTCCGCAGCCATTAAATCAAGTCCTAAAAACGTTGACATTCGTGGAACCTCATAACTCATGACTATTTAAGGTGATTCCCTAAAAACAAAAGTTGTCACGATCTTTTGGAAACTTCTGTTGAATATTCCCTACGAATCTATGTTTGAGAACTAAAAAAAAAGGTACGTAGCCGTGCTTGCTAAAGAGATATGATGGGTCACGCTTACCCGATTTGGGCCTGTACTGGTACTAATCGTGCGCATTATTTCATCGGTTCGATGAACACTTGGCAGTAGGTTTTCAGTAGCTATAAGTGGGGCTATGTCAAGCAACACTTCAATAATAACTTGATAGGTAAGAAGTCTCCAGTATATGGAATATATGTAATATAAAATTTGTGAAAAAATCTTGCAATTTTATTCAGTATCAACTTAAAACGTTCCTTGAGTCTGTGCTTTCAAGGTCATAATTTGCATTTTCGAGTCAGGGGCTTCGTGCATGCTGTAGCCATTAGTTTTTTTCTTACAGCTAATTTTTCTGTTTCAAAGGAGATAAACTGTACACCAAAATTATGCCAAAAAAATAGGTCACCGTGTGCGTTCAGAACTTAAGAACGTTGTAGCTCGTTTATCTCACCCTGTTCAGCAGAACCGAGCTAGTGTGACGCGTAACTAGTAAACATGCGCGCTCTAAGACTTTTTAAATTTAATAACCCATCGTGAGCATTTGTTACGCGGTCGAGTAGAACGCCTTGACTTCTAAACTCTTGCGGATTCCGCCTATATTCACTAATCACGAACCATACCTCACTAACTCGACTAACTTTTTAATTAAACCTAAATACGTTCTCATTGTGTTGTCAAAGCGTCAGTCAAAGTCAAAGACACCAGCTTTTCTCAAGACTACTCTGACCCAAACGATACCAAAAATTGCGTGATCGACTGCTTTCCCAGTTCCTATCCAATAACTGCACCACAATTGACTGTGATGAGACTGGTACAAACGAAAAAAGAAGGTACAAACAACCCTTGCAATAAATCGTCAACAGAAAAATAATTCCGAGAAATAATTTCTAAATTAAACAGAGTTATAGACTTCGACAAACCTTGCTGCATGGCTTGGGGAGTTATCCGTCCTCCTATGTAAGCATTTCCTTGCATTTGATTGGCTGTCTGAGAAAATTGATTTCCCCCAGGAATTGTGGCCATTATGTGAGCTGACACTCCATTAGCGCCTGCTGAGGGCGCAGTAACAGGGGTGGCAGCCGTGCGCTGAGCAGTTGAAGGCTCTGGAGTAGAAGTAACCAGCGCTGCCCGGTGTTTTGGAAAATAGTTCCTATTGAGAAAGAATGATTACTGTCAACATGCTCATCACATGGCTCTCCCAATTTGAAAAATTTACGAGAGAAGAAAAAAACTTTTTTTCAGACCCAGCCTTCCTTCGATTGCACTCCACTACCGACCACTACTGTCAGTGAGATGAAACAACCGGTTTGTTCAGGTAACGATGTTCAGCCAAGGCCGGGACTACGAAGTTATGAACACAACCTTGTATATGAGAGTTCTATCTTCTTACCCCAAGTTAGTAAGTAACTTGGAAAATCACAATTGTAAGTAAAAGCACTGTCTGAAAAACATTCACTTGACGGAGTGAAAACTCACTTGCTTCTTTGCTGCTGAGTAATTTGCTTCGGTTGACCTGTTAAATGCACCTCCCAGCAATGCCTGAATAACTTAGAACTTGCATTAAATGGTCTGCAAGGACAAATGGAAAATGACCAAATAATCCAAAGGAACAACAGCAAAAGATTACCTACGTTAAAAGGGAGTTCCGCACCAAACCAAACAACATTCCATGCCTTAGTTTTTCAGTAAGTTAGCTAATATCTAAGAATGTTTAGTGAATACCAATGGATAGAGCAGAAACTAATTTGAAGTTGGAGAAGTTTTCTTATTGGGCGAATCAATTAGGATTCTGAGGTCCATGGTTCGAAAAGCGGTTGGCATTAGTCCGGCATTGAAATTCAACCTTATTTTCATATTTCCTGCAAAACAATATTTAGTTAGGGAAAGTTTCTCCCATTGTGACGACTTGTGACTCCACAGATGGAATATTTTTTTATTACAAGTGAAGCTAAAAAATTAAAGCATTCATTAAACTTAAATAGTCACTAATTCTGAGTCATGGAGTGTACCTGAGTCCACGCCGTACCCTTGTGCATGTGCTCCACAGGCAATGAAACAATCCATCTTCTATATTAAGGGAATAATCCTCCAGTTATGGTCAAATCGAACTTTCCTAACTTATCGCTAAGGGATCTTAAAGAAGATTGCTGATAAATCAACACAGTTCATGTTGACAGGCACAAATATCTTTTGGGCGCGAGTCAGGGTCATTTTAACCCAAGCCCCTTAGTGAGGGTTAAAATGACTCTCAGAAGGATCCAAAATATATTGATGCTCTAGAATATAAAATGTATCATTATCATTACTTCAGAGGTCAATGAGGAAATAAAAATTGAAAAAGTCTGAAAAGTCACACGAGCCTGTGAGCGAGCTAAAATGCTGGACAAAGAGGTATTGATGTACATTTTTAATATACCTGCTTGGAGTTATTAAAGAATATATTTTCCTTTAAAAGGAAATTTTAAAAAGGCTGTCTCTTCTCTTTATTATAATCGGGAGTGCATGGGAACATGCAATTTGTTAAGTTTAAATTCCATACTTTCAACCTTTTAGGGGTGGAATGCAAGATATTGGATTAACTATTTCTTTACTTGTGACTACTTGGTGCTCACCTGATTTGCGGAGATGACATGTGCTGTCTAACAGATGTATCCTCATATCGTGAAGATCTTCATACTGATAATCACAACCTTTCCATAAACACTCATACACAAAAATAGGGCCAGTTGGAATAGTTTGTCCACTGTCAACAGAACCCTGAAGAGACAGAAACATCAGAGCACAGGTCAATGATCAAACAGATTCAAGGAAGAGAGTATCATCTATACTTCCAGCCGACATCAACTGAACCAAATCGTCCCATTAATACTGACGTTACTTTCACTGACTTGGTTCTTGAAAGAGAAATCAATATATCTACACCCAAAAACTGCATTATCTCACAAATTTGGTCATCATGCTATTTGTCTAATTGAATGAACAAAACAAAGAAAGGACACAAATAAAGATAACCTAACATATTTATCATAAGTTACTTACAAACTAGTCAAAATTAGCAACAATTCCTACATTTGAGGAAACGCCAAGGTGCAATTTCGAGTACAATAAATTGTCTTCATTTATTAACACACCTCAGATTCATTCTGGGAAAGCTGCAGTTGAGCTCTTGCTTCATAGTCAGCTTTCTTCTGTGCACTTATATTGCGCCACTATTCGGAAAAAACGGAAAGACATTAGCAAATATAACTGCGAACTGAGAGGACTTTGGTTACAATTCATGACAAATGGCCCTTCCACGTCCATTCGAATCAACCTTACTCTGATCGAACCATGATAAACAACATTCTCGACAACAGTTGTACTAGAGCTAAGCTATCATCAAGAAAATATACAAAACTTCCTTTTTACAATACATTGAAAATTGATAGCCTAAGAGTGACGTATTAAGGACTTACCTCGACTCCAATGATGCGGCTGATCTCACCAAATGCATACTCTGGGTGTTCCTTTCTGATGCTTGACCTCATTTCATGAGAAAATAAAAGGTACCCAGACTGACCTCTCTGTTTTTTTGGCTTCTAGAAGAGAAAAAGAATCCTAAAGTTATCCCAAAAATAGGTATCAAGACCTTCTTAAAATCAAAAATAATAATATTTTCGTACATATTCCCAATTTCTGTGTTTTGTAAAAAGGCTAAAAGGTTGAATTGATTGATTCCTTTCATATAAGTGTAACTTGGATTCGTTTACGAAGTGCGTCTCGTGCCTTGTTTGATTTATAACCCTCACAAAAAATGCTATTTATTTAGTAAGACTTTTTTGATCATTTGTGCAGTAACATGGCAGAGTTTGATGCTGAAGAGGCAATAACAAATCTAGTGAGTGACAAGAACAGGAGGAGAAGTTTGAACCATAGCCCTACCACAGGACTACCACACCAGCATCTGAACCATTGGTTACACTGCGGACCATTCAAAGGGTTACGCGGATATGGTTCGTTGTTACTGAGAAATGATCGCAGTCAACGTTTTATCCCTACCTTCCACTACACCTTATTATAACTAAAAAAAATTCCTTCATTCCAGTAAATTACTTCACTTCAATGTAAAAAAAGTCAGTCTGTTTATATTCTCCAATTAACTCCTTCAGTCATTGACAGTAATAAAACTCTTGACATATCCCTTGACATTTACATGCCAATGACAAACTTTAATCCTTGGATGGAGTACAGTTAACATAAAAAAGACAGCTCTGACCTTGCTTCCGTCGCCTGTCGACTCTGTCAAATTCAAGGCTGGGGAATGACTACGCTCTTCTTCTAACAGATCCAGGTCTTCAATTAAGAGACGAGAGGGGACCTAAAACCACAAAAACACAACTCAGTTCATAGGGGTGTTGTAGTTTGCTCATAAACTAAGTTCATCTCAAAACTCTTCTTATAATCGTGCACATATGATATTCCACTTTCACTAAGTCAGTATTGATGCACTGAACAACAACAGCATGAACAACGTTTGGGAGAAAAGAGAGAGCTAATACAGGTATGTCTAAGTACTTAACACCAACATTCACCAACCTTCACTGGGCTGATTGGTTTTTCAAAGAAATAGTATTCATCCTCTTGCACACTGACGGTCAAAGTATAACGCTGGAAAATAAAACAGTAAGGTAAGAAACTAAACCGTGAAGATAATTAAACATGAACATTTCTTATGACATACTTCGTGACGTCCTCTGTAATTCATCAAGTCTTGACTTTTTTTAACGAAATATTTTGAAATACTTATGCAGTAAATATTTTATTCACAAAATAAAAATTCCGGGGAAAACGACAGACCAAGTTGCTTAGTGATTTTCTTGGTTGTGATGCAGAGAAATGAATGCAATCGAAGAGCGAGACAGACTGCACAAACGAAAGTACGAAATTATTGAGTCGTTTAAATATGAAAATGGCCAGCTGAACTAGGCGTTGCGCGGTCTTGAACTTTTGATGATTTCACTGAAATGAAACGATCAGAAAAAAGAAAATCCTCTAAAAGGTGAATTATGATAAACTTTTGCGCACCCTTTCGTTCAAGAGAGAGTCTGTAATAAGTTAAAAAGTTCAGTTTGCAGATGACCCATGTAAACCATAAAATTAGGTTACTGTTAGAGCATACGTGCACCGTGAGAAAATCAAGCTTTTAACTACAGATGGACATGAAATGTTGTCAAGCGCATCGGTGTCATTTATCATTGTTCCCCTTAATAATTTTCATGTTGGACGTCAAACGAACGATCTAGGTGTACCTTGAGACCTTTCAGTTTTCTGAATTGTCCTTCTTCTTCATCATATCTCGCTTCGTTCAGGTAAATATCTTTTTCTGGAATTTCTGTGGGCCGACCTGTTGCCGAACAAGCCAAATAAACAGAAAAACATTCAGTCATGACCACACAAATGATGAAACGAAAGTCTTCGTTAAGAGGAAAAATATTCATCAGCATGACAAAGAACCTGGCTTAAGTAAAAGCTTTCTCAGTTAGATGTCAAATTCAATCCTCTTCTTATAAGGCGGAAAAAAATATTTTCTTAAGACAAAATGTAGCGCTTGAGTACAAAATACAGAATATATGAGAACATTAAAAAGGCAATCTCTCTACAATGAGTTTCTAAATGACTGACTCATTACAGTGTGTAAGAACAAAATCTCCTGCTAATAAACAGTAGTATGATCTTACATCTGACGTATTCCCTGAATGGCAGCACGCAGCATTTTCCTGCAATGGCGCCAGTAGGCAAGGTTTCTTCTAGTGAGCTAAGGAACACTTCCTTTTCATAAAACATCCTGGTGGGTAGATGCTGAGTACTAGCAGGTGTAATAAACCAAGGCCCGTGAAACCATGCATGTCCACTATGGTACAGAAACAAAGTATTCAGTTAAAGTAAGAATGAAATAATAACAAGAGCGGGGGTTTCAGTAAAAGCTGGTTATCTCCGCTCTATCACCGCCTGTAAAACCTCTTACCGCTGTCTGTTTAGCTTATGGGCAGGCTCTTTTGTTCAGATTTCGCTTTAAGGCACAGCCGCCTTAAACTTCGACTTAGATTTAAGATGAGACTTCAAACTTTGTTGAAGAAAAAAAAGAAAAAGAATTGAAGGATAAGCCAAACCAACTATCAGTAACTTGGTCACATCCAGATCGGGAAAAAGAATTTAAAAACCTTAGACAAATGACGGACAATGAATACTTTAGCCACAATACCCAAAGCAACATTTTCCCTGTATGTGTTTTATTTCTTACCTTCTGTCTGTCCACAACTTATCAATTCTGGACATGCACAGAAATCCCTCATCTGACCTGACATAGACACAGTCTCCTGTAAACAGTAATAACGGTTAAATTGCAGTACTTCAAGTTAAGTCTTAATCCAGTCCCTTCTGCAGTTATTAACATTATAATTTAAAAATACACAACACTTTAAGTTTCAGGTCAATAATTCTTTCTCGCACATAAGTAAATAATGTGACTGCTTACCAAGCTTGAAGGGAGTGTCTCTCACACAGAACTGTTCATAATATATAGAGCCCTCCTCCGCGTTTTGAGGAGACTCCAAAACCACATTCTGAAAAACACATTTTACAATTAATCACATTTCAACTTATAGGGCAGGCGTAATCATGTTTTGCCTTTAGTGTTCTACTATCCCTTTTGTGGAATCTTTTTAAAGGAACCATTTACTTTTTTATCCAAGAGTTTTGCGACCACAGGAACATTATTCTGTGATTTATGTGATTATTTTTCTTATTTGTGATCGCAAATGTAAGTTATTTGGTGTATGTGTCTGTTTCATTTCATGTAACCAACAATGGTGGGAGTTATACTATTACAGTGAGCATTAAAATGAATAATCCAAAAACAAATTACTGAGTGCAGTGGTTAGTTTCCTTACCTTTTTCGCATCTTGGACAGGTGCTTCTTCTGAATCAATTTCCATTGGCTGTGCAGTGTTGCCTTTTTTGTTGACAAAAACAGATGGAACACGTCTCGGGTGGAGAGGTTCCTCTCTTGTGACATGACTGACTTTTGATGGAGGTAAAGACCACACCTATCACAGGATTAAAATCAAATGCGATTGAGCTAGTCGGCGAAGGCTCAACTCTTCATGGTAAATCAAATGCGATTGAGTTGATCGGCGAATGTTCAAGCCTTACTTCACTGTAAATTAAATACGATAGAGCTAGTCAGCAAAGGCTCAGATTATCAACAAGCTACGTCATCACGTTTTCATAGGAAGTGATGTGTATTTACCGGAAATCAGTTGCATAGTGTTACGCCTATTGCAATATGTGTCGTGCAGTGTTATGACGACAGTTGACTCAGTCATTACTTGGCTAGGTGTGACTGTACTGGAAGAACTACAATGACACACGAAACAAAGTGGCCCGGCAAAAGTTTGAAAATGAGCTCAAGGGTTTATTTGTAGATTTTCATTACAATATATATACTTAGTCACAGTCTATCAAATTCAAAACAACAAGTAAAACCTCTTTCTACCAAGGAGATGTACCTTTATCTTTTTAAACGACTTCGTCTTGACATTGTATCTTGATTCACAAACAAAAACATCCTCATCCTTGAAATTCTGCAAAAGAGTTTGGGAGATTGTAATGAAGGTGTATCAGAGGTTCTTCCAAGAAGAAGAGAGCAAGGCTTGCTAAATGTTTTCAAATCAGATACAATGGTAATTTTACACTTAGGGGCCACCCACTAGTTACCCCAGGGGGGAGGGACCGGGGGATCACATGGTTTTCAGGGGAATGGAGGGGGATCAGTCGTTACCAACAGTGTTAAAAGAGGGGACATCAGAAAATTGACTGCCTATGAGAGGGGGATCATAAGAATATTAAAGAACCTTATAGGGGGATCGGGTAAATTCTGTCGCAACACAAATAGGTGATGAGTAATGACCAGTCACTTAGCGAAACCTGCAGACCCAATCGAAGTGGCCAAATGGCACGGTGCTGTCTATATAATGCTATGTGAGAAAAAAAACGTAACAAACGATTTCATGCTAATAATACTATTAGCGACAGCGGAATCAAAATTTCCTAAAGCATAGTTATCAACAAACCAAATGAATTACAGCTGGTCTCCAACAAAACCAATGAGGAATAACATGCACCAGTCGGAATAATAATGAGGATCCAAATTTACCAACAACAGGACGCCAAAATATAGCAATAGCTGCCTGTTTTCAGTTTGTATCCTCAAATTTATTAATTTCTTCCATTAACCAAGCTCGTGAAAAGGCGGAAAATCATCTTTCGATCTAACTAAATTCCTTTTTCTCTCAGCATCTCAAGAACGTCAATAACGCGGTTAACCAGAAGAAAGTTCGATCTGTTGCTCGATTATACTAGAAAGAAACAAACAAGCACTGCTACAGTGCAAGTCTCCATATAATACAATTGAAGAGCATTTGTACAAGATGAAGGAGATAGTTCCTGTACAAGGGCGTCACACCATCATGGCACGTAATAAAATACCTTACCTCAGGCTTCTGCTTGAAGAAGTCCTTAACGAACATGACATAACATTTTCCCAGAACTTGCTTCAAGTTTGAGCATTCACTGTAATCACTCTTGAAAACTTCCTGCAAGGGACAAGTTTGCACTTCAGGGTTTTGCCGTAATCAGAGACAGTTTTCTGCCATTGCATGCTGCGAATAGTGCAGCCCTGTAGACCATCTTCCCACTTGTTAACACGGAAGGTTTACACCAGTTTTCTTTTACTAATGCAGTAATCCAGGTTCAACTAATCAAACTTTTGATTAATACAATTAGGAAGTGTTGAATTCACCGATACACATGCTCTTTGTACTTAGTTAAAAAGTAAAGGTACAAAGGTGAACAACATGTACCAATAGAAACTACATTCACAGGACTGTGTAAATTACCTTTTCTAAGAATTTCCTCGTAGCTGCGTGAAACGTTTCCTCAGGTCGATAAAACCAGCTTCCATACAGCCACTTGTGGAAAGAAAGTGATTAATTTTCAAAATATAATAGACCTAAACTTCGCTTTTCACGAGGATAAGGAACAAACCATCAGAGGTCCATGAAGGCCACTGTCTGCAACCACTGATTTTTAACTCTATGATTCCGCACACATACAATATTAAAGGCAGGACGTACTGTTTTTAATTTTCATGTTGGAATGGCTGTGTGCGGACAAACGGTAAGGTTGCCCAAGTTACTTAATGATCCTCTTTTCTCGCCTCCGCGGAACTTTTCAAGTCTGTTAGCTTTCTCTCCATGCACACTGCCTCCTAAGGAAAATATCCTCGTGTCTCCTGCTTGTAAAAGATGCGGTCACTAGAACACCCGAACTTTTGGCCCACTTTAACATTACTCTGGGGGAAACGCCCACCAAAGCAATGTTTTGAGGGGGAGCTTGCTCAACAAACCATATAATTTTTATTTATTCCATAAAAATGAAGATATACCAAAATGAACCACTTAACGCAGTTTTAGATTCCAAAAAGTAACATAACCTTCCGAAAATTACGTGATTTACCATTGGTGCTGTTAGTTTACTAGAAAAAACTGCGGCAGCGCTTTCTCACCTGTTCTCCATAACTATCTTTGTAAAGCTTTTCAACAGACACAATATGTGGCTGAAGGTCTTCTTCCCTGAAAAGTGAAAGGAAAACATTGAATTTACCCGTTCCTACTGATTTACACAATTCTGTTGTATAAACTGCTGCAATGAAAGCATAACAGCTATCTTTTCTCCAAGAGAAATGAATGCCTATCGTTCGATAATACACATTACGCACATCGCACAAATTGTCCTAAGGCATGTACGACGCCCATGTACAATTTGCAAGCATGACGCGTAAACTGTCTTAATGATGCTCAAATCAGCAAGGTGGTAAACGATCAAGTTAGGGAATTTCGTTCTTTTTTTGCAGTTCATATCTAGCAGGTAATTCACCTTGGTTCAAGGAATACAAAGTCCCCAACACGAATTTTTATGTCTTTGTAGGACATCTCCTGTTCACATGCTTCATCGCTTACTGGAACCTGTAGAAAGAGGCGATGTTTATTCAATACAAAGAAGACTTGTGTGTTATCAGTTGTCATTAGACATCTTATATCTTGTGATGATAGGATTGAACAAAGTTCAACGAAGTGAGCAGTCATACTAGTGACTGTACAAATCAGACGAACGCGACGCGGGAGTCACTTCTTTTTATCATGGGTAGGATCAAAAACAGAATAGGAGGACACCATATCCTATTGCCAACTTAATATAATCATTACAATTTCCTATAAGACAAACGTAGCTCTCTAGGAAAGGCTTGTAATTCCAATTTTCTGAAATAAAAAAGTTGGGAAAATAAGGGGGAATTATTATCCGATGCATTTAATTCCTCCTTTGAGGAAATTCTCTGTGAGGAGCAAATGAATGCTAATGTTAGGGTGTAAAGGGTTAACACTTTTTCGCTTGTATTTTTTCACATTTGAGTGAGAGTGTTTGAATAAAATACATACACTTAATGAGAGACATAGAAGCCTAATTGCCAGGATTCGGAGCTATCTTCTGCACAGAGTATGAAAAGGTACCAGCAAATTGTCGGGGAAACTTGACTTACTGTTGGTGCAACCTGGGATGGAGTAACACTCCATCTATTTGGAGTAGCAACACTCCAAGTGGCTCTAGGCTATAAATACCTAAATGACTTGAAGGGCAGTATGGCAAGTTCGTCTTGATGACTGACAGAGAAACAACCCTAACGTCATTTTAAATACTGCCAGTAATAAAATCTGGTTACGGTTATTTGAGTTCCTATCAATAGAATCGTTCCCTTTGGGTAAGTAACCCTAATCCTAAGTATGTCGCACTTACTTGAGACTTTTGTTTCCCTTCTCCTTTTTCAAGCTCTCTTTGCTTTTCATCTTCTTTGCCTTCCGCATCAGCTTTTGATTTTCTCTCCTCGTCCAGATCTTGGAGTAGGTGCCTTTTAATAAAGACGAGGGCTGGAGAAACAAACCTCTCTCCATCTTTACACAGCCTATCTCTCTGAGTCACAAAAAACTGCTGTAGTTCTACGGCATCATCATACATCTAGAAGAAACAAAATCACGATTGATATGAGTTATCACAACAGAACTATATATATATATATATCTTTGGCATGGCTTAGATGATTCCACATGTGTGAGATCACCTGGGGTGGCTATATGGCCTTACCTCCATCCTAGCATCAGCACTGCACAGATGAGGCCCAGAAGGCCAAAACAGTACTGTCTGCAGTTAGATATAGCTCTTTGGCATACAAAGCTTTGTTTTCATGTCCAAATTGAGCACTCTACTAGGATGAGTCATTGCTGCTAGCATTATGCATGCTCACTAGTTTTTCTAGTTTGAGCACTCTGGCATGGCTTAGATGATTCCACATGTGTGAGATCACTTGGGGTGGCTATATGGCCTTACCTCCATCCTAGTATCAGCACTGCACTGATGAGGCCCAGAAGGCCAAAACAGTACTGTCTGCAGTTATATATATATATATATATATATATATACACACACACACACCCATTTCAAAAACGTTGCAATTTGAATATATACATGAATATATAAACCTTTTGTTTTCTCATCAAAAAGAGAAAACAAAAGGTGTCTATATTTCATATATTTTTTCAAATTACAACGTTTTTGAAAATGGGTGTATACATATATATTTATGAAGCAAAAGTGATTATTTCACACTCTCATTGGAGGGCCATCTTGAGTAGGTGGTTATACAGTTTTATGCTGTGCAACAACCCACTCTAACAGACTAGTGAAGGCTGAGTGATTACAGTCAAAATATTTCAAACAAAAACTAAGTACGCTCCACTCAGTTTCTTGTACATTACCCTTATGTGATTGTTTTAAAAGCTGCCCTAGGTTCGTCTTTGATATGGTTGATGTAGGTCAATTCTGTAATTGGTGGATTCGATACTGTGTATTCAGCATGACTAGCATGACTGGAACTGTTTGATCACAGTTGCGTTTTGATGGGTAACTGTCCAATAACAGGTGTGTGATAACACCATTCTGTGTGATTACACCATCTGATTACAATACTTCAGAACATTTGTGAAAACGTGTTAATACTACACACAAAAATAGCAGTTAAAATACAGCACCTCAGTATCTGAACGAAACACCTCCCTAGCCTTTTCCAAGATTGCAAAAACATCCTCTTGATATCTGTCCAATCTGTGGTACTGTCCCTAGGACAAAGTGAACATTTCAACATCAATAACCCTTTAACCCCTAAGAGTGACTAACATCTAATTTCTCCCTACAATATCACCACTGAATCACATAATAATGTCATGAGAATAAAGGAAATGATCACCAACTAAGGAAACTCTTGATTGTTAGACAAATTCTCCTTGTCAGCACCTTAGAAAATGTACAGAGAACAGTATGGAGAATATGAATACTGATGTTAGAGTGTAAAGGGTTAAGGTATGTTTGAACCAATGAAGATGTAATCAGCAGCAATGGTAAAAAGTGACATTAAAATATTTGGTACTGCTCCTGCTGAACAGCACACTAGTTAACCCTATGAACTTGATAGATTTCTTCAACGTGAACACTAACTCAAGTGTAAAATAATATAGAGCACTTCCCCTGAAAATAAATACTTGTAATACCTTTCTGAGGGCTTCTCCAATGCTTGACAGGGATAAACGTCTCCTGCAATAAGATTGAGAAAACATCAATTGCAACAATGAGACTAACTATTTTCTGTCATTTAATAGTTTTCTAGTTAATTCTACTAGCAATCCTGTGTCACACAAGTTTTACACAGGGTAACACCATATGTCCCCCCCAAAAAACTGGGTCTATGATGTAACATAGACTTGCTTGTATTTCCACCAGTTAGAGCCAAAACAGTCAACTTACTTATCTTGTTGAAGTATAGAAAAGTCTGCCAGAGAATCACTAAAACAGCGTCCTTCGTCATCCTGAAAGCAAATATACAAATTTGTACAGAAACTATCAAAACTGCAAAAAATTCTTTATCAATAAAGAAACCTTTACAATGTTATTAACAGAACTTAAAATGTCTATAGGAGCATGCAAATATGGAATGGGGAGCTGAGTGGTACACAAAGATTAAAGAAGACAATCTTACCACATGAGTCATCACAGCTTGATGCAAAGCATTCAAAAGTTTGCGAACAACATCTTGCATGTTAGGTACTTTACTCTCATCCCCTAGACATACAAGTAGAGTAAATATTAGAAAGCAAAAAATGCCATTAATTTCTACAAAAAAAAAAGAATATTGTCTTTAGATTCACTGAACTTTAGAGTAAGAGTCTCATGTTACAGTATCTGCCATAAAATGAATGTCAAAATCAGTCATATCAAAATTAATTTCAGATTAAAAGCTATATAAACCTTTGCACAACACAAGGACTGGGGTTCTCATTCTAAGTGGGATTATTTTCTTTGTTCCAAGCTTGTGTGAAAAAAAGTAACCTTTTTTCATTTCTGTGTGATGTATTTTTGCCCTTTTTTGCATATTTGCATCAAAGCCAATTAAAAATCTTCCTCATTGTTCACATCCTCCATGAGAGAACCTTAACATTATGCATTAACTTTCATGAATTAGAAAATTACTAACAGTACATTTGTCCCACCAATGCTACACATTTTGGGAAAAACAACGTTCTGATACACACTTACCAACTAATTCTACTTTCTTTCTCAACAATTCTCGGGCAAGGCTCAAAGCATCCTTGTGAGGGACAATAAAAGATTAGTTTGTGTCTCTCAAATTCTCATACAAAATGGTGAATTTTAATTCCTTCATAATCATGCACTCATATTCAGAAAATTCAACATTAATCATGTCATAGGGCCTCAAATTAGATTGTAAGGCATATTACTTGACACAAACTTGAGTAATAATTTCTGACAGTTTTTAACCCTCTAAATAAGTGTTGAGTTCAGAACTATCTGTTGCACTTTTAAGGTATTGAACTTTTGTCAGCCTCAACTTTCTAGTATTCATAATTAAATCTGAAGCCAAAAAACAATTCAGATCAACATCATTTTTGATATCTTGACCAAAAAGAGATTAAAGCATTTTATTTTGAACTGAAAACTCATGAAATCTTACAAGGGAAAATAAGGTTATGAGTGTAGTACAAAACTTATTTGAGTGGACTACCTACCTTGTAGACCTGAGAGTCAGGTTCATTGTAGCGACAAGCATTGTCAAACATAAGCTGAAAATCTGAGAGGAAGTCATCCAGAGTATGATATTGATCCCCATAAAGTTTGGAGTTGATCTTAGCCATGTCTATTGGCTTTTTTATCAACGTGTAGTAGTCTGGATATTCCTGTCAAAATAAAAACCAAAGCAGACTGGAATGGAACTTCAAACTTTACCTCAGACTTATTTTTAAATCAGTTATAACCATGACTCTCATGGTATATATTCCAAAATCTTGGAAATATTAAAAAAAAAAAGCGGTCATCAAGGTTACTCAGGTATACTTAGTCCACTACTTTCATCAGTACCATAACACACAAATGTCTCATCAGTTTGATTACTTCTAAGCTAATATCTATTCTTTGGTCTTGGAAAGAGGGTGGAATATGATGATGATGAGGAAGTTATACTGCACAAAAATTTTCCCAAATTTAGTTTATCACTCATATACCATAATATGTGGCATAAGAATCGTGTAGGTTTTAATTTTTGCAGTTTTTGTGAATTTTCCTTTATTCAAAAAATCCATGACTTCAAGTGGTGTTATTGTGTCATTGTTTTTATGCAATAGGTATCCTATGTTAAGGACTATCAACAATTTGGTTAAATTTTGCTTAACTTTAAACAATGGTATCACTCAAATATTTTAGTAAAAATATAAAATAAAAATATCTTTAGAGGTCCTGTTTATTATCATAATGCATGAACAGAATTCACAGACATTAGTTCCCAGCACAAGTTTCAGTCATCCTAAACTGCAACAATTTGTTTCTTTACATCACAGAATATTACTAATTTTTTAGATAAAACCAACAAAATGTTTATGTGGCCAAGTAATCTTCCCTAACTTTAACAGTTACTAGTCATAAGTTCTTGCAGATTCACTAGTTGCTATCATCAATTTTGAATATGCAACAAGAAATACCAAAAAAATGCACTTACTGTTCTTGATGGCAACTTTTGAAAGATGAGACAAAGTTGTCTTCCATGCCTGTCCTGTATACAGTAAAGCAAAAATATGAGCCTTTACCACATTGTGCAAAATATTCGGTCATGAATCTTCAACCCATGAAAAGTCATAATTGCCAGTGAAAGCCAGTGAGTCCCCTAATAAAGCTGTCCTTTTCAAATTCAGCTTTCCCTAAGGAAAGGAAACTTTTTCAACATGCCTGCACATTACCACAGCCTTCCTGATCAGCTATACCTTCTATGGTTTTATTGAAATAAATACTCAGCTTTGATGATGATTACTTAACACTTCTGGATGAGTTTTAAAAATGCTGGTGATTTGAAAAACACTAATCCCTCTTGAGCTTTTTAATCTTATGTAAAAAGCTTTAAAAAAGTAGAAATGAAAAGTTTTGTGCAGAAACAGCTACAGGACTTGGAAAGATGTTATCATATAAAACACTTAATAAACACCATATCAACTACTTAAAAGTAACAACAAAGTCTCATGAAAACTGATCAATGTACTCAATAAACTCTCCAAATTTTTAAGTTCTTACAGTGCAGTCTTTAACAGCATTAAACAATTCCCGACACAATTCCTTCAATTCATTGGTAGCAGAAGGCACCTGACTGTACTTTTTGGCTGCACCTGGTGAAGATCTGTAGAAACACCAAAAAAATATATATTTCAGACAAAACAATCATTTTTTAATGTTGGTATCATAAAAGGAAATTTCTTATTTTGCCAATGGTAAACTATCCCTTCCACTGAGGTAACCATAACAGGTACTCGTAAACAACAAAACAATAAAGGGTTCAAAGAAACTTGTGTTGCGTTAGTGTGAGTATAACAAGATAATTTGGTCTTATCAACTGATTTGATAATATAACTTGGCCCCAGAGAAGAGTTTCTTGATATGAACATTTTGAGCATAAGCCCATCCTCAGAGTGAATGGAAAAGTATTAACACTTGGAACGTCACCTTTAAAAACTCTTTTGCAATAGCCAATTTGCATTTGTTTTATCAACTCAGGTAATAAAACCAAATTATATTGTAAAACAGTCTTTTACAAGTCATGACAGGAATACACCAAAGGTAATCCCCTGTATCTTGGGGGAAACAAAGGAGGATCAAGATCATAATTTACACATGAATTAGAAATAAACTTTTTCTCTAGTATAAAATTGACAAAACTTCATAAGACACAACACAGAATACAAATGACTTTACACATCTTACATAAGAGTTAACAAGAGGAGGAAGTCAAAATAGTATCTAGAGGCCCAAAAGGTGGGGAAAAAAAAGACAACAGGCAGGCTGGAAACCATAGAACAAGGTGGAAACTGTAGAAGCTAAAAGGGAAGGGTTGAAATGTCCTGCAAGGTAAAGGGGAATTTTACATCCACCACTTTAACTTAATTAATAAAATAAAGGCTATCAATTAATAAGCTTCTCAGAAAAGATTGATTTCTTAACTTACGATATTCTCCCAGACTTGGTGGGTGTTGCCTGCTTAACTGGTGTTGCTTGAGATGTCCCAGCATGTGGTTCAGCAGCTTGAGAAGGAGCTTTCATATCAAGAGAAAGTCAAATGGGTATTTGAAAAGGCATCGATAAGGAAAAGCTGAGGGTTACAACACAATCACGCTAACATCAATCATTTTAGAGGATAGCAAAATGATTTGATTTGATTTTCCTTAGGGTTAACCATTGGTACATGGCATTTAAAATTACAGAATTGCCCACATAAATTGAGGTTATTATAAAGCTTCCCAGGCACAATTCATTAGCAACAAGAGTACAAATGCTACCACCAGGGTGAATTCCAACCAGGGATCTAAGAGTCTTCACCCTCATCTTTTAAAGGATAGTGTGGGTGCAATTGGAATAATAAGCATTGGTTGAAAAAGGTAAAATGTAGTTTGTATCATATAAGGCTACAAATGAGAGTCAAAATACTTTGCACCCAAAATGTAGCACATAATATTGTGATGCTTGAAGAAAATCATAGCATCAGTACTTCTCATGGATACAGGAGCAGTTGTTAAAAAAACATCATTATTATCATCATCGAAGTGCTTTACTGAAAAAAAGTCTATAAAAACCAAACAATTTACCTTGCTGAAGGGGACCAAGTGATTTCTTCTTTTTTCTAAGCACTTTTTCTAAAGTGCAGGCATCCTTTCAAAAAACAACATAAAAAAAATCAAAATAACCATGTTAAGCCTCACAGTCAACCCATCACAGACCAATAGTTCAGAAGTTGATCATCTTGTTTGTTTTCTTGTTTGTTTTTTATAAATTTGATAAGAGCTTCAATGTTCCTTCTGGTCTCTGTCTGTTCAACAGGTCAGGGTTTCCATAACAGTTTGAGAAAAAGAAATCTTGGATGTGCTGCTTGTCTGCTGAAATGCAGCCACATTTTCACTAACAGTTTTTAAAACAAACATAAGGATTTATAATTTAGTGCGGAGGTTATAGAATCTGGGACTAGAAACTGTTATTCTGATCTCCAAGCCCTTTGATTTCCAGTACTGGTTCTACATGTTAAAAGATATGAGGGAATCTAGTAAAAGAAATAGTGGAAGCCTTCCTCGTCAATTTTCAATTTCACACCTTCTGGTCTTTTTGAGGTTAAACCTCTTGAGCTCTTCAGTAGTCCCATAGAAATGTTTAAGCTGTTATAATGCAATTTACAAAGTGATTAAAGAGCAATGTTTAGCTTACTATTCTACAATGAAAGAGTGATAAACAATAATGATAATGGTTAAACTTCATTAATTTTACATCTCCTCTCCCTCATCTTAAAACTTTAAAAGATCATAAATGTCTTATGAAAGACACACATGTACCTGATACACTTGGGAATCCTCCTCATTGTAATAACGTGCATTGTCAAACATAACTTCAAAGTCAAGCATCAGTTCTTCTTCCCCAGAATACTAGAGTAACACAGTTGGCACAAAAAATATTAAGCAGCATCAACAATTTTAATGATGATTATATATATTGAGTCAATTCCAAGGTAAATAACCCATGTAAATCAGAAATCTAATTCATTTTTGTGTTAATTTCTACATGCACATATACACAAAGTTTTATAGTGACATTTCAAACTGCCATTCACATACAAGAGAAGCAAGACAGGACATGTATGACTGGAATGCTAATGGTGTTAAACCTCAAAGAAAATGGATGCCCCAGAATCACAATACTTAACAAACGTATCTTCAGATGGTAATGTCAAACCTATGGAATGCAATGGCTTTACATTGTTGTTGAGAACTTATTCTATCACTAACATTCTTTCATTTATCTGTTGCAAAAAAAATCTAGGATGTTGTAAAGTCTGTATATCAAACTCATGTTCGAGGAAGATGAAAGACAAGCGCATGATGAAAAACTCCATACTTACTTTGCTGTCTCTGATGTTGTTCTCAATCTGGCTCAAGCACACTGGTTCAGATATGACTTGATAGTAGTCTGGATAATCCTAGTAATTCAAAATTATTTTAGCTAATAGCAAAAGCCTGCATTGTGTGTTAGACATAAAATGGAAATGGATGCCACAGAATCAAAATGCTTAAAAGATGTATTTTGATAATGTCAGACCTGTGCTGAAGGAAGTTCCACAAATATTGCTGAAAGGTATCTTCCATTCTCATCCTAAAGGGGAATCCAAAGAGAGACACACATCTTTACTAACTGGAAAGCAAGCTGGCAAGCAAGACATTATCAATTAAATATTACATACTTAAATACTTCTGTCATTACTCGCACATTGACCACCATAACTAGCCAAAACCAAAAACCAAATTTGCAGAAATTATACACAATCTATTTTGAAAAAATCAAATTACTGGTACTTGTTCAAATGTTTCCCATGCCTGTGCCATCAGTCATTGGAACCTTCACTCTCTGACATCTGACACTAACCTGGTAATTCACCACAGCCTTGTATAGCTGACGCATTCTTTTTCTCAACAAAATAGGGTCAACCTCTTCAACACGTTTGGTTTTCTTGGGTTTTCTAATCTCTGTCTTTGGTTTCCTCTCAATCACTACTCCACCAGTAACCTCTTTTGCTGGTGTTGCTGTCACTGTCGCTGTTGTTGTTGTTGTTGTTGCTATTGTTGCTAACTCAGGTTCCAATTTCTTGGCCTTCTTCTTTTTCTGGATATAGTGAAAAAGTTTTAAGATAAATGTATTTACCATTTAAAGTCAAGCAAAAAGAGGTAAAACTAAAAAGAAAGAAAAAAGTGTAACATTTACTGTGGAGGCATCTTCCACACTTGGTATGTTAGAGACAACTAAAGAACATTGTAATAAGGTTTTACCCTCTTTTCTTGACATCCCACCTAGAGTTGTAAAGTTGTTAATGACAAGAACCCTGTGATTTAATGCTTAAATACAAACTTCTTTAATATTTAACTTAAGATGGCCAGTGCAGGTTACCAATGACAGTCAATGTTTAATTGGGTGTGTCCCAATGATTTCATCAACTTGAGTTCACACAAACTCCATAACAAGTTTCTTTCCTACAATAACCTTGTCTGAGAGTAACTACCTTGACATGCATCAGAACAACATTTTCTGTTGCAGTTTCAGTGGAGCAAACAACTGACAGTCAAATTTAGCAGTGCTCCTACGCAAGGAGAATTCAGTTGATTAATGTATGCATCAAACAGTAAAAAAAAGATAAATCATCATAATATCATAACTCTGATGTAATTACCTTGTAATCTTCCAAACTGATTCCCTTCTCTTCCATAAATTTCAAAATCTCAACCTTCTTCTTTTTCATGTGTTCTTGCATCCTTTGAGCATCCTGTTACAAGAGTATTTGAATGGTTTCCAATTGAAAGCAATTTCACTCTTACTAACTTATTAGTAATGAACATAGCTCCTCAATTATAACTTGGTTTGGATTCAAACTTTTTAAGTGGAAATCCTTGAATGAAGAGGTCAGACTGATATGACAAAGTAACACATAAATACAACATTTTCTCCATTGAAAAGGGATGAATTCCTTTCAAGAAGTCCCCATTAAGTTTCTTTACATAGGCATGTTATTTCAATCTATAAAGTATTTACCTTATAAAGCATTGAACTGGACTCATTGTATGTTTGTGCATTCTGAAAACACAAGTCCATGTCTTTTTCCAAGTCCTCCATGTTTTCATATTGACCAGTCTACAAGTGAATCAACCAAAAACAATTTATTTATAATGGCAAAACATACACTTTTAGAAAAATTACTAACATAGTCATCCATTATTTTCTACTTGATAAAAAATTAAGACCAAATTGTTTCCTTAGTACCTCACCTTTATTTGAGATCTGATCTTTGACAAAGCAATAGGCTGTGTGATTACTTCATAATAATCAGGGTAAGCTCTGTGGTAAATGAAAAAGTTACAAAATGAAATTGTTTCATATTTTCACAAAGTGACATGAATTTTAAAACCTGTTAATTAAAATAACTGTCACCAAAAAATAATCAAACAATAAGAAACACAAACCTTCTGGATGGCAGCCTGAGGAAAGGCTCTGAGAGTGTACGGCCAGTTGGGTCAGTGAAACGATAAACCTCAGAAAAAAGCATCATAAGTGGGTTGTCTGAGTCTTGATCTCCACTACCATCTTCATCACCTGGCAAAAGAAAAAAATAGCACTTAAATAAATAATCCCAAACTACAAAGTCTGTACCTCTGACAAATTATAATGAATAGTGATCATCACCTCAAAATTAATTTTCAAACAACAATGAATCAGACATGGTTTGATGCTACACTGGTTTAAAGATTTAATGAATGTGACAGTGAAGTTACAATTCATAGACCAATTATTCGACACTCCTGTTTAATGCCTTCATTAGGGGTGATCTAATTGCTGCTAAAAGAGGTCCTTTGATATGCTCACTGATTAGCTGCCCTTTCTTCAGACTGATTACTGAGCATAATATACAAGGACCTCTTGTTACAGCGATTAGATCACCCTTAATGAAGGCACCAGACAGGGGCATTGAAATGTTTGGTCTATGAATAGTAACTTCTTGGTTATATTCATTAAATCTTTAAGCCAGAGAAGAATCAAATCATGTCTGATTGTCCACCCGCTTGCCTTGTGAATTTTAATGTAACAATGAATCATGTATAATCTTTGCATTTCCAGAGTGTGGGCCATAAGTTTGTCAAAATTGAAGTTGAGGACAGCTTAGGTGGGATTTCTTCCACACAAAATGAATGTTAACTAACCATGTAAACTGTCTTCTGTGTGTTCTTCTTCCTCAGGCACTTCAGCCCTTTCTTCCAAACCATCTTCTGTCTCCTCAAGGAATGCTACTACTGAAGTGTTTATTTTACCAGTGCTCCTCCGTGCTCTAATTATTGCACAATGATCAATAAGTTCAGTACTATATTTCAATCAACTCACACTAAGTCATGACAACAGAGATTTTAGGAAACCATGGATCTTCTATGCATACAATGAATCTTTTGGCTTGAATTTGTAGGAAACTCTTTGTTTTTCCACAACCCCTTCCCTGCCCCAATTCTGCTCCTTTGAGCCATTACTGCCCTGCTTCTCATTCACACTCTTGTTACAAAAAAAAAATTGCAAAGAGGCTTCTGTTTCTCTCCCCTAGATAATTCACTGGCTCTCTCCAGTTTAACAAAAGCACTTCGATTTATATTCAGTTATCTACATCAGAGGGATTTAGCTTGTACTGTTTAACTTCATTAAGCAGAGTCAAAATTCATTGTCTCCAAAAGCTCAGAACAGCAAAATAAGGAAGATAGATCAATCCAGTTCATTCAAATTAAAATAACATTATTGAAATTTTTGTCTACAAGATGATAGGGAACAATGATTGACATAAAACTAATTCTGATTAATAAATAACTAATTAAGATTACTTTAATCTTTTGCTTGACTTGGCGCCCATCAGTGTGTGATCAATTTCTGCCTTCTTTGTCTGTATTGCTTTCTTAATTGCAGTGGCATCCTGCATCAAAACAGATTTGCTTTTTAAGCTCTGAACATGACAACACATTCACCAAAGAAATGACTCATATTGCAAGCTTTCCCAAAGCAGAAATGAGGAAAGAAATCATGTTGTTTAATAAATTGTGACTTTCTTTCTCTGACTTATAACAATACATCTGTGAAGGAAATTTTTTATAATAGTCTTTTTTTTAGTTGATGAGACCGCACTTGTCTTATATTTATCATTATGTCCCAATTAGGACCAAAATCACTGATGTTTTGCATCTGATAATTATGCCTTTGAAGAGTACTTTTCCTAGTTTGATATGTGGCTTATAAAATAACTAACTAAAGGTTGGCAAACCTTATATACTTGAGAGCCTGGCTCATTGAAGGCATGGGCATTCTTGACCATCAACAACAGATCTTTCTCAGCATCCTCAAGGTTCACATATTGGTTATTCTGGTGGAACAACAAGGAGTCAATAATTAAGTTCAAAACTTTAAGTCCTTAAACCTTTGACTGCTGGAAGTGATTAACAAGTAAATTCTCCATTTAATCTCTACACATCATCCAGCACACAAATAATGCCAATACTCAAACTTATCTCATAGAAGTTGTTATCTTTATCTAACATCAAATTCTCATACATGTAACTAATTAACAAGGAAATGTGAAGCAACCAAAGGGAGAAATAGCAATCAGATCTTGAGAGTTCAAGGGTTAATCAAAAGAGTGAGTGTGCTTATGCAAGGAAAACTTACAGGAACAAATAAAACAAAAGGCTCCCAAAAAATGGCGGCCATGACTCCAATGTTAACAAGTTGAACATTGATACAGTTTTGAGAGAAAAAAGAATAACTACAACTTGATGGATGTGTTTCAGTTTGATTTCACAATTTTAGCATGATTTATCTAATACTTTCTAGTCGCATCAAATGAAATTTATTGGATTTCAAACCTTTTTTTTTTTCATCTATTACCATTCCTACACGGCACCAAGAAAGTTTCACTTTAAGCAAAATCTTTGAGCCACCGGCAGCATTTTCTGGCTTTTAGGCTTGCCCAAGCTGATGAACAACACTCATGTCACAGCCTGCAGCCTATGATATCCTTTTCCATGTGTTCTTTTCATAACATAGCAAGCACATATTCCTTCAACACCAGATCACTGAACATATTTCAATCAAAACTAACAAATTTTGATGGGAACATAAGGAAAAATGAAAACACCAAACAAGTCATATTACATCAGTATGTTCATATTCATGTATTCTTCATACTGTTCTCTACACAGTTCCTAAGGTGCTGAAAACTTAACAATCAAGAACTTGTTAAGCTGTTGGGAGAGTTAAGATGCATATATTACTCTTAGGATGCAAAGGGAATTAAAGATACTTACTCTCAGTTTAGTGCAAATTGTTTTCAAGTCTATGGGTTCTTTGATGATCTCATAGTATTCTGGATAAAGCTGTTGGGAAGAATTGGGATTATTAGAGATACCTCTATCCTGATATGAATACCTCACTTGGTGAAATACAAGTAACAATCACTAAAATTAATAAACTAAAATTGGAAAAAGGCAGAGGGCAATACCATACTTACAACACACTAATAAAAGTTACCACTAATCAATAGTCAGATTTCACCGGAGCAAGCTACTTATATTTTTAGTATAGTACTACATGTGTATTGAAATAAATTATACAAGGGTACACATTAGACTTATAGCACTATCATAAAATTATAGCTTAGGGCAACATTACTAGCTTCTTTGCACCCAAATTGAACTTTTCAAAACTCTACTTAGCTTCTTCATAATTTTGAATATCTGCTAAGTTGAAAGCTCTGGTTTCAGATGTGGGAAAAATTCTAAATTATTCAAACAATGAACAAATAGGTTCCATTTTTCACTGTGCCTGTTTGAAAACAGATCACAGATGATGTCAAAATATGATAAGAACTAAAAAGTGTCACAGATGTTCTTGCAACTTTTTTATGTCTTTGGTGATCTCTGATACAACAACAAAATAGAATCCATTTGTTTCATGTAACAAAGAAGCAAAAATGTTGTCAGTGGGGGGGATGTCATCTATGTATCTGTAACAGATCATAATTGTGAACCAATCAAATTGCATGTATGATTCAGCCCAACATGTAAAAATAATTCATCCACTTCTTTTTCAAGTATACCATGGAAAGATCAATGAAGTATTAATGAAGTAACACAACAACCAATTAGAGCTTATAAATAAATGCGTTCATGAAACCATTTTTAAGTGAAACCTTTCCTAAACTGTAAACATTAAGGAATCTTGTAGGACATGACATTAGAGTTGTTTACAAATGGTTTTCAAATATGATTCACATTACCCAATTTTTTTAAACACTATCATAAACTTTTTTGCAAAACTGAGACACCTTCCCATAATGCACATACAAATTATATCATGCATGTTTACTCAGAAAACATACAGCTCTTATGTGCTTACTTTAGAGTTGTTATGCTCGTGATGTTTTCCTTTAAAATGCTACTTACAGATTCAGGTGGTATCTTCTTGAAAAGCTGGCAAATAACTCTTCCATGGTTATCTTTCATTTCCAACACTGCACTTACAAGTTCCCCACAGTAAGTGAGAACATTAGAGGCAGAATCTGCTTCGTCATCATCTCGTGTGGATGATGATTCATTATCATCCTCATCTGAAAAAGTCCAAATTGAAAAATAACCCAGTATGATAATTAATCTAACAACACTGAATTGAAGAAGAGGTACCTACAAAGAGCAAATGATCATGATTTAAAAACTGAAAAATGTCAGAATCCCTTTTATGAGTGGTCCAAGAGCATTACAATGCTATATGAAAGAAGAGAAAATGAAGACCTTACGGCTAACAAAAAGGTTTGCAGAAAAAGTTCTTTAAACATTTTAAAACAAAAAGCTTGGTTCTTTAACTTCTCAAAGTTCTCTATTACTTGTTTCAGAAAAGATGGATAACCTCATTGCCATCTCCTACACACACAAAAAAGCAGCTCCTAATGCTGGAGTTAAACAGATCTGACTCTAACCCTGTCCCGCCTGCTGACCTGCTGGGAGACCAGACTGTCTTTTTCCAAATGCATTTCCATCCTTATAAAACAACTGCTTGCCCTTCTCTGTCTTGTCGTCATCCTCACTTTCCTCATCACCATCATCATCCCCTTCATCATCATTGCCATCTCCTTCCTAACAAAAATAGCAAATAGCTCACTTAATAACAGATCTACATGAAGTGTTGGGAACTTTTCTGCATTTATGGAATTGATAAAAAACTTTGAAAGAAGTAAGTTGGCACTCACACCCCAGCACTCATAATTATGGACTTTTTTCATTTTTATTGTTCAATTACAGGTGCGCACTTAATGGTCAAATCAAGTGATTTAAATTTTAATGATGTAATGTGTTTTGCCGCATGTATAGAAAAGTGGATTTGGGATTTTTTAGTCAAACTGGTTTTGTATTGTTCCCTCTACATTTAAAGGGGTTTTCTAATCGATTTTACAGATTTTGAGGGTTGTTGGGAAAACCATCTGAACATGAAGTATCCTTTGCAAAAAGAAGGTTTAATTTTCTAACATAAAACCATTGAAGTGCTGAATATTTGCAAAAAAATAAGATATTCTTTACATAGGCTACATTTAGTTATTCAAAACAAAGTGAAAACCAGTGGACAGCAATGTTTGCAATTCAGTTATACCACCCACACATTCACACACACAAAAAAGAAAGAAAATGTAAGCAGGCATAAAAGCTGGCTCACAATTTCATATATTCTGTGGGTTGGTTATAATTGTGGCCCCACAATTTCCCTGAGGAGAGTTATGTGATCAAGGGTGTGAGAAAGTATACATGTATATTATTACAGCAACTAAAAGTCTTCAAAGTCATGCATAATATTCCTGGCAAGAATCATCTCTTGAAGTTCCAACTAAAACTCACATACCATATCATCATCAAACATTCCTTCCCCTAGAACAATGAAACACAAGATTACTGTTTGTGAGATATATTCCATGACCCTTGCAGAATATTACAAATAGTATTTAAAAGTTGTTGAAATTGTACGGAGTATGACATAATAGATGCAGGGTCAATGACAGAAAAGTGGAAGACTGGTAATTGTAAATAAGAATATTAGAGAGCTTTACAAAATATCCTTCTTTCCATTCAACACAATAGTGTAAGTGCATTGTTGACAAGACTCAGTAAGCAGCTTAAGTAAAGAAACAAATTCGATGTCTGCATTTATAAAACTGATCCATATTAAAAACAAGTGTAAGACCAGGTGTGAATGGAATATTTGATATCTCTTTGGTGGTTCTCCTTGCCGCACTTGGTCCAAAACATAATCTATAGTAAACAAATGTTCTTTTAGAGGAGTTCTGTGTTTGCATTCTGCTATAGGACACTACCTTTATCCAATTGAGTACAAAGTCTTGTCTTTGCCTCATCAAAAGCCTCTCTGAGTTTAATAGCATCCTGGTGTTCCTGAACATCAGACTTATAGAACTTGATGGCATTATCAAATAACAGTTGTATATCAGCACTAAAAGCATCAACATCCTCATATTCATCTGTTTTCAGACGTTGCTAATAAAGAGAAAACAAATCCCTTAAACAGACTCCAACGTTGCCCTCTCCCAAGGTTTCTTGAAAGAGTTCACATCAAGCACTCAGAGGAGACCTAGAAGTTATCTTTAGAAACCTAAATCATACATGCATCCTTGTATAATCAATACACAGGAAAACAGAAAAAAGCAAATTAAATCTAAATAAAATTTTGTTGTTATTGTAAAACCTTCCTTGACTATACAAGTTTTGGTCTGAGCTTAATCTGAAACTGACTTTCATAAGTTACATTTACTTTCATCTTTTAAAACAATGGAATGAAGGCTATGATTGAACCTGCTTTTATTACATGTAAGTATTAAGGTGTAGGTTGGAATAATTCTTTACCTGTATTTTCAACAAATCAATAGGAGTTGAAATAACTTCAAAGTATTCAGGAATGTTCCTAAAAAGCAAAACCAGCCACAGTAACAAATATTAATGATAATAACATCATATACAATGCAGCAAGCTGTACTTGTGTTTTACAGTGTATCTCTGATAACTAATAACAATCACTATCAAAATCACTTCATGTAACTTCATCATAATAGCACTCTTGAAATAATTCATCAGTACCAGAATACTATCTTTCATCAGAATTATTACTTTTTTATGAATCACTGCACTAAATTTACAATGTGAGGGGAAAAAAACCAACAAACCTCCTCTTTGGTGATCGAATGAAGGATTCACAAAGAATTCTTCCACTGTCATCTCTAAAATTCCTGATGATTTCGTATAATTCTGCACAAATGTCAGCCTGTACACAAACAAACAACTTTTAGAAACCCTTCATGTTATATAGTGATTCATCTTTCTGGATCATAAAACTACCTCTACTGCTCAAACTCGACCCTTGTCTACCCCTTTCCACAAATTGTCACACAGGGAAAGAGAGAGTCTTGCCCATTCCACAGACCAAAAATGACACACAAGCACAAGTAAATAATTATATCATGGAAATACTGGAAAAATCCTTCATGCAGCTTTCAACAGTATCTCACAGTTACATTCTGTTTTAATATTTCAGACCTTGTGAAAAGAATGATTGTCTAGCTTTGATCTATGGCAGATCCACGAGGCTTGGCTACCCAAATGACTTATTTATGAGTACATTATACAAGCGTCAAGCATGAACACTCTCCTTAATTTTGAGAGTTAGAACAAATCAGAATGGGTCAAGAATATTCCATGTGAATGGATGATGACTAGGAAAGGAGCTTGCCTATTGCTAACATCTCTGGCTTTGTCACCTGGATTCTCAGGCCAGCTTTTCTGTACCTTAATAAAGACTTTAGTATTTAAGAAAAGATGTGCACCTCAGCAGAAAGAACCCAATCTTTAAGTTTTCAACTGCCACACTAATAATTATATTAAAAATTGAAAATAATTTCATCCAGCATTAGGAATGAAAATGACTGTCATCATCAGACACTATGCAACCAAATTTTGACTTTATCCAGACAATTTCACACAATGATCAGATATAACGTTCACACATTTGTGATGTGATGTCCAACATTTCACAACAACATTTTGATTTCTACCACTGGAGTAACTGTCCATTAATAAAAGTTGTCTAGAATGTTGAGCTATAATTAAAAGCTAGCCCATAAGGCAAAAGTTTTTTTCTTTCCTATTCTTCTGCTCAAACATTTATGCACTTCTGATCACTCGGCAGTTAAAAAGCACACTATAAATCAATAAATTTATTATTATTTAATACACCACTCTATGAATTGCTCACCAAAATCCCCCTGAAAAGCATTGTATATGTCACTGTTTCCTACACCCTTAGAAGTCTAGCACACAATAACCTAATTGCAATGGAAATGTTCAAACAAGAAAAACAGAAACAATAACAACTCATGTTTCCAAGACTAAACTCCTGTTATTCTTCCAGCTTTAAAATCAACATTTTTTTTTTTATCTTTGCTATACCCTATTTACATTTTTGTCACAAGCTAACAACACATTTCTGCAGGTTTTATAATGTGATAGAGCTAGTTTGGATGTTAGAAAAATATTCAAAATGCCTGTAAATCAGTTGCTTCGTGGATCGTTATTTACAAACTTTTCTCTTCTTCTCCTAACATGGGTTTATTAGGTTAAAAGTCCCGGGAAATGTATTGTTCTCGCCCAGGTTCCACTCGGTTCTTTCGAAAACAGAGCAGAAATCAGGACTTAATTAATTTCTATCGTCACTCTATAATTTCTGTCACGGTGTTTGAAATCAGGCTCTGTTCGTTCAATTTTAAATGCGCTGCCTTAAGAAAAGAAGTTAATGAAAAGTAATGACATGATATGGTTTTCTCAAAACAGACTTTAAAACGGCCCGATTTTGGCGACGAGGACCCCTAAAACCTGACAAACTTTCTTCTTAAATCTAATTCAAGTACGGGAATAAGAAAGAGGAACGCTTACTGGGTCATTTGGCGATGTGGATCGCTTTCGACGTTTCTTTTCGCGCCCTTCTGATCCCTCGGATACACTATCTTGACTCTTCAGGCCTGACCCTGACGCACGACCACCGGTACCGACGCGTTTACGTTTCGTCATACTGTAGAAGCTCTGCTCAGGATCCTTCCTTCCTATCACGCACAGTCGCTTCTACAATTTTTCTCTCTTCTCCCTCTACGCCTTGCTTTTCTTTTGCTTTCAAGACACGTTGCGGTCTCGAGAAGAGGAGCTTGACATAATAACTCGAGTCCGCAACGTATCAGCAGATTTGCACAAGGAGATTAACTACTTCATGTGGGGTACTGGAGGTTTAGCTTTTACTCACAAGGGCAATCGAAAGACGAAGCTTCTGCTTAACACTACAGACAAGCGGTTAACGACCCTCATTGACTGTAGACAGTCAAAACACTCAACTAACTGTAGATATAAAGAACGAGTGCGTTATCATTACAGCTATGGTTGACAGCTTTTCGAAGCTCTTAAAGCTCACGCTAACCTAGGAGAAAATAATCTCATAAAGGCAGAGAGTTTGTTGCTTTGCTATCGCTAGCCATACAACCATTATCAGCACTACTAGAACGAAAAGGTAATAGAAAATCTGAACATTAAAGAGACGGTAACAAGTTGTCTTCCTTGTTGAGAAAGGGCACAGCTGTTTGTAACAAAGACCGTAGTCTGTAGATAAAAGAAATGAAAGGGCTCCGTCAATGAACATTTAGCAAGAAAGCTGATAAAACTGCCTTGCATCATTGACAAGTCAACTAACCGAAATGCCTGCTGTCAAGAATGGTGAATTAAGCACATATAGCAGTGAAGAATTAGCTGGTCTGGAAAAATTAAACAAAATCACAGCAGGGCGGCGGTGGTAAGAAAACGTACGGTAGACTTAAGTTATCGCCGCATAGGGCAAAGGTGCGGGCTTCCTTTGGGCCCCGAATCGGTGTCCGGTCGTTTCGATACAAGTCGTTTTGATACAAGTCGAAGTTGATTCGTTACACACGTAAAGTCCATTCGATACAAACTGCAGTCGTTTCGATACAGAAGTAAACTCGAGAAAAGTTCAGTACACATATCAAAGACGAAAACTAACACACTTATGGCGATTTGTTGTGTTCTGTTCAACATATCAGCTGAAATTTGACTCGATTAATTAAGCGACTCGATTGATCGACGTAGCTCTAATACCCAGTTTTCCCGCGACTCAATCGAAAGAAAAAAAGAAAACTTTATTGAATATTTATTTAAATTACTCAAGTACGTTTACATTGATCATGACTCTCGCAGATGTGGTGGCTCCTAAAAGAGCCGTTTTATGAAGCTACTAGGCCGTTGAGGTAGGAACACACCTTCAGTAATTTTCCTTGCACTGAGGGCACCAGAGTTGGACCCATCCTAGAAAAACTCGAATCCATGTGGAGGTTAGCGGAGGTATGGGTTTGTTTTATTTACAACGAAGGTTTGTGTTCGCTCTAGTATGTGTTTGAAGGTTCGTTTGGTCATATATATATATATATATATATATATATACGGTATAGTATTCTGTATCGAAACAACTCGAAGTAACGTAAGTATGTATCGAATCACTTTACATGTGTAACGAATCGACTTCGACTTGTATCGAAATGATTTGCATCGAAACGACCTGTATCGAAACGACTTGTATCGAAACGACTTTGTATCGAAACGACCGTGAACCAAACAGCAAGCGCGCTATAAAACTCAACATACCTGCATTGAATGCAGAAACGTGAATTTCATCGGAATTTTCCCTACGCTTGAGCTACGAGGTGCAATGGAGCAATGATGAAAAATATAACCAAACTGGTATAACTTTTAAAACTTGTACAAATCGTGATGGTGTCAGGGCGACTGCTGTTATGCTGTGGTCCGTCGTGGCGAGCTTATCATGGCGATCTACGGTCATAGCAGGGAAGTGGGCCTCAGAAACTACATCGTGCGGCCTTCGAGTGTCCAACTAAAACCTTACTCTGATATCTTTTCCGATGCAATAAGAGGCAACAATGAAGCTACATTAGTCACAGCAGCCGAGTTTTGCGGCGCTGTAACCCCGAACAATCCTCGTGTTCCTGTCGGCTGTCGTTCATTCATAAAACGAGGTAATTTGGTATCATCAACTTAGTAAACTGGCCGCCGTAAATAGTTTCAAAGCTGACATTTCGAGCGTTACCCCTTCGTCAGAGCGAATGGCGAAGGGGTAACACAACTTGGTGAGGTGACTGGGTACCC